AAATGTAGCGTCCCGAGACTCCCTGAAGACGAAAGAAGACACAATACTCGGGCAGAATATATATATTCAGCACGGAGAAGGTGTCTGGGCTATTGGCATGGCCCAAAAGGCCAGCCCACCCAGCGAGGTATAAGGGGGCTAATTCGAAGTACAAAAGTGGCGCCCCACCAGAACCGAGGGATAAACCACTATCGTATTACACAAATGGCTTTTAAAATAATGGATATGTAGGCCACTTGTTTACCTGTAAGTTCGTGTAATAAACATAAAACATGGACTAATGCATGACAGTGTTCAATAATAGAATAAGGGTGTTCTAAAACTCGCTGCATTTTAAATGCTAAGGTTGGTAAATACTTTAGGTCGTTCGGATACAAAATAAAGACTGGATTATATACATAGTGCTTGTGCTACTCTAATGTCATGTACATCAAAAATAAGTTCAATATCTTTCGTTTAAAACTGCTTATTGAGCAGCGGTGCCATTGGTCCGATTGAACTTGCTTTTGTCGAAGACTAATCGTCTTAATTATGACTGAATTATTTCTGGAAAATATTACTGAAGAGATTCGGGGCCATATTTATCCAGGAAAACTCCGCCTAAAGCCCACAGATCTTATGTTTAGGAATGAAATCACTGGGAAAGTTGCTCATTTTTCAAGCGGTGATATTTCATCAGCCAATTGGGTTTTCCGGGCCTCAGGGCTCTGTTTGCGCCTAAAGCTCAACAATGAAAACGTTCATCGTTATGACGGATTTGGTGAAATAGAGTCTGAGAAAGTTACGTCGTTTTTTAAGAAGAATTATGGTGTTGATATAGCAAAACGTGAACTCTGCTACAAAGGCTTTAACTGGGGTGATGTGGTTTTTGAAGGTAAGCCATCAGCCTGCTACTCTATGTTTTAAGGAAATGTTATGGAGTTTGCTTACAAGAACGCGCTGATCTTCGATGTTCCATTGTCTAACATTTCAAATGCAGCAGCAAATAAGAATGAGGTTATTTTCGAATTCCATCCCAATGATGATGCCGAAATATGCCTCTCCGAAATGCGTTTTCACACTCCAAGCACGGAATCCGACAAAGATGGCGCGGCTACTGCCATATACTCGCATGTTATGCAAAAGGCCGACATAATCCAGGTTTGTCTTACAACATTGTGATTTTACGTCCCAGGTCACCGGAGATTCCCTGGTAGAATTTAAGGACATCTCATACCTCCAACCGCGTGGTCGTTATGACGTTAAACTCTACAATTCCTTCCTGCATCTTCACGGAAAGTCATTTGACTACAAGATTCCTAAGAGCACTATCATTCGATTGCTCCTACTTCCGCACCCCGACAACCGACAGGTTTTCTTTGCGGCTCAGGTTGATCCTCCCCTCAAACATGGTCAGACGCGATATCATATAATCGTAATGGTTTTCGAGAAGGATAAGCACATCGACATTGAGCTCAGTGTCTCTGAGGAGTACCTTCAAAAGAACTACGAGGGCAAGCTCACTCAGGTCATGGTTGGTCCTGAGTACGATCTATTCGCTCGGCTTTGTAAAGTATGCCTCAACCCACCGCCACTTCCTCCTCTGGAATCCTTTTTACCGTCATGGTTTCGCTCTTTAGACGCTGTACAACCAAAAGATAACCGTCCCGGGGTCGTTTAGGGCAAAGGGTGGTGGTTCTGCTGTTGCATGCAGTTACAAGACTTATGTCGGTCTTCTTTACCCACTTGAACGAGGTTTTATTTTTGTTCCTCGACCTCCAGTCTCTATTAGATTCGATGAGATCGTCAGCGTTAACTTCTCGCGCGGCACAGGTGCTCTACGTTCCTTCGATTTTGAGGTCTGAACACTACCTCTACATTCCGTATTTCTCCATCGTAGTTTTGCTAATTTGCTTTTGTCTTGAGGCAGGTCGAAACCAAGATGGGTGTCACCCACACCTTCGTCTCAATTGAACGTGACGAGTATCACAAATTGTATGACTACGTGAGTGAGAAGCGCCTACGTGTAAAGAACATTGAGGACAGTGATGCAGTATGGCGCGAGAAGCTGGAAGACATATGGTCCTCTTCCGACGAGTCACACGACGCCTATTTAGATAAGGTGAAGGCGGAGGGTCGTGAACGCACTGCCGAGGCCGCAGCGGGCACTTTTGCTGGTGCCGATTTCTCCGACGACGATGAGGATGACGAGGACTTTAACCCGCCAGAGATGGGTTCAAGCGAATCAGACATCGCCGAAGAGTACGACAGTAACGCTCAGTCTTCGAGTGACTCAGATTCATCCTCTGCTGCTGGAAGCACTTCTGCCAGCAGTGCTTCCTCATCCTCCGCGTCTACGCCGCGCCAGAAAAAAGCCAAAAGGGTGGCCCCTCCACCGCGACAAAGCGATAAGAAGGAGCGCAAGAAAGCATCAAAGAAGGATCCTAATGCACCCTCCCGACCACCGACAGCCTACTTTATCTGGTTCAATGAGCATCGACAGGACATCAAGATGAGTCTGGGTGGTTCTGTTGGTGTTGCTGAAGTTGCCAAAGCAGCGGGAGAGAAATGGAAGACTTTAAGCGCGGAGGAGAAGGCCAAGTATCAGTCGGAGGCAGACAAGTTGAAGGAGCAATACGACCGTGATATGAGAGCGTACAAGGAGAAGATCGCGTCTGGGGAGTTGGAAGAGCCGGTGAAGAGTAGTGTTAAAAAGACGAAGATCTCACCCACGAAGATGCAGAAGAAAGCGGTGACGGCAGGGACAAGCTCCTCGCAAAGCGGAGCCGGCGGGATCTTTAAGAGCGCGGAGTACGTATCGGATTCGGAATCCTCCTCCTCCTCTGTTTCTTCCACGGGGAGGGCGAGTCGTCGTGGAGACGGTGGTGGTGGCAGTGGGAGCATGACTGATTTGAGCGATTAATAGAGATGGATGTTCGCTGCTTTAAATATGTACAAGAGTTGGATTTTAAACGATTGCTATGTGTAGAAGTTGTATCATAATTACCTTATATCTGTCAGGGCGAATAAATGTCAATGCACTTGAGTGTGAGCACTGTTTATGAAGAGATCGATCAATTGTTCCTCTACGTAGACGGTAATTTTTAGGACCTCTGCTATTTGTGTTGTCTCATCGGAGATGAAATCTCTCCCGTGCCTTCTCCCTACCGGTGTCCGACCCTTCTGTCTATGAGTGGCTGTAATTGTTGTGCTGATTTATCTTCTGACCTTTTGCGTCAATGAAGCTGATGTTCGGATGAAACTGACTACCTACTGGAAGTTTCGCAGCATGAATAGTTGCCTCATAAATTATTTGCTTTTTAGCGCCTTTAGAGGTATGCGTTTCGCAATCTTTGGGATCTAATTTGGTTCATTTGCTAGTTGTGAGCGGCTCATCACTTCACTCTCATTAGCTGCTGACAGTTTTCAGTGCATACTTTTCGCCTAGTGCAACCTGTCGTTTTACATATTTTCGCCTCTTATCAGGAGGTGTTCCGTGAGTTCCAGATTCCTTGTAACAGCGATAATGGTATTCCCTTTGAAGTCGTGGTGGAGTTATCCATTGAGAATAAATTACTTGCCAAGAATGTAGCATTTGGCCCTGACAACTGTTCATTTGTCTATTTCAAGAGGTCAATGGTTGACCAACGTAGAAGTCTCGCTTATTTGGGTTCACGATTTAGGTTTCAGTTTTATCCCTCTTTTTAGTAAATAGTTTTTGAATGAACAGCACTCGCTATCGCTCCAAACAAGATTCTTGACTTTAAGGAAAACAAGTGTACTCGTTGAGTATGTAAACGCATACATATTTGAGCTGCAAAAGCTCCATTCATCGCGCTTTATTGTTGTTGTGGGGCCGCTTGATGGACGTGTCAATCAGTAGAACATCATAAAAGCAGAAATGGCAATCTTTCATGCCGACAAGAAATGCGATTTTTTCAATGAATCTTACGATTCTGCTAATGTCAATTGGAATTATTAATGGCTAAGGGGTTTTTTGCGTATCACTACCCTGGTGAATTTACGGGGTTAACAGCTCCATTATGAATAAGTACTGTCCAAATAATTTTTCCTATAGGTACTATGCATATGTATATTTACCTCTTCGGGTCGAAGCTATCGCTTTTAAGCGCATTCACTATTCTTGCCAACCATAGCTATGACCGATAACGGTCTAACACTTTCTTTTGTTACACTCATCCAGAGCGAGTCGAACATACGAATTGATTACTTTGGTGGATACAGCAACCACTCCTTCATATTTTGGGTCTTTGGGTTCTTCCTGCTGCAGCAGCTCGCATAGCAGCCTTCCTTTCATCGGCCAGACACTTGACAGCCATACAGACAGTTGCAAGTGAAAGGAATGCAGGCATAAGGACAGCTACCGCAGTGCTCAAACCCGTAATAACCTCCAACTGTGACCACCGCACAATCGTCTCCACCGCGAGTACCCCTGTCCAATCGGACCACTTGAAGTTGCTGCCGCGCGCGTCTCCATGCACACAGGCCAGACGGAAGACGGGCAAAAGCCCGCTCTCGCTGTCCACCGCGGCATCGCTGGCCGATTTGGCTTCAGCATAAATCAGGTGGTAGGCGGGGTCGAGGCGTACCCTACCACGTGACTTCGCCAGCAGGGTGGATAGGTTTACCTGTTCTGCGTGGAAGGCTAGCCAGCCAGAGGGGGTTCCAAAGGCGCCAAACGCGCCCGCCATGAGTGCAGTGGCAGTGAGATTGTTGGTCTCACTTTTGCTGGTAGGAAGGCGGAACCAGGAAATGGGTGAGTGAACAGTACCCCGCAGGGGGCAGGAGAGGACGAAACTGTCGCCATCCTTAATGCGTATCCGTTTCATCGATGGTTTTGCGACCTCATCGGCCGCCTCCAGTGCGCTCGCCTTTACCATGCCTCGGGTGAAGGGGATGAAGGAGTAGAGGCGTCTGTTGATGGCGAAAAATAGCCACTGCCAAGGGTCAATCATGCTGGGAGAGAACAGCGCTAATGCACAGTTCATTCATTCCCAGTGTTTAGAATCTGGAGCTTAGTGGGATTTACCAATATTTTTTTTATCTATAATTATCAATGTGCCATTCTTTGCCGAGCAAAGAGGTCAGCAATTTGGTTCAATGCTCATAATTATCTTTATTGGACCACAGTTTGCAAAATACAAAATGCTTTGTCGGGTTGTAAGGTAATCACTGTTGCTGGCATTTCAGGGGAGAGAATTATGATTAGTTGAATTATCTAAGTACAAATGAGGAAATTTTGGAACAAAGCAATAAATTACAATACAAATAATTGGATCGTAATTTGGATGCAAACGCTATTTAACTTGGTAAATGCTTCAAATTGAGTTATGTTAAAACCCTACGCTGTCGCCGGTGAAAGGTTGAACAATTAGAGGTTAATCTAGTTTCAGCCATCCAGAGGCAATAGCTGACAATTAGTGAGAAATAGAGGTGAAACAACTTAGGATTATTCTGCTTCCACCTTCTTCTTAAAGTAAACAAAGAGTCGTTAATGAGTATTTTTATGAATCTGCAGTGGGAAAGGACTGTACAGGGAGGTTTGGATCTACAAACTTAATTTTCAGGTTTAATTCAGGTAACCTGTTTTACTGTGGTTGATGGTTTTCGAAGCTGTTTCTTCTAATAAGCAGAAAATGAGTGGGTCTGCAGTATTTTATCGAAGTCGCTGCTCTACGCAAAAGCAATAATTATGTTGGACTTGATGGCGATGTGATTATCCGGATGAATTAATTTGCCAACTACTACAAAGCGTAGAAATATGCTCATCAATAAAGCTGTTTAAAACAATTGTTTTAATTTCAAAGGGGAATGATCCAAAGAAATCTCGCTCCTCATAATGAGGATTATACAAGTGTCGAAAATTCTACGATTGTTTTTTTTTATTAAAATGATCATTACAATCTACAAGTCCTTCCTAATGAGACATAGGAATGAGAATTTTGCAATTATAAGTGATTATATCTCCAGAAGCAAAAAACAGGATTATTTAGCAAAAGTAAAGATGATAATGCATCATAAGCGTTGTTACTCTGTGATTTTTAAGCATGATTCCTCGATAATGAGTATACGACCAATAAATCAGGCCTATTAAAATGCAACAAGTCCATAAGCCCCCATACAAATAAACCGCTGGTGATTAAAATCCCCATGGTCACCATTTGAAATACGGCCGAAGACATTGTTTGAGTATGCAACCACTGATCACCACTAGCCGTCAGCGACAAGCAATAGCAATGAAAATAACATACGAGTTTTTCGGAGCAGGACAGGGTCGATAACAGGGTCGAATGATGAGTTCACTGGGTCGTTTCTTGAGCGCCTGAATTCTTGACTCCATGACCCCACGGGCAATGAGATGGGAACGACAGGGCAATCCAGAGCGACCGAACTGTCGAAGCGGCTTCGTGGCGTAGTGCGCCAGCTTGTAGGGCCTCACGGGGAAGAAACCGTCAAGCATGCGCGTATAACAGGTGCCCACGCGCATTTGGAAGCCCTCACCACCACGCTCAAAGAAACCGAGCTCGGGTATACCCGGGGGCAACTGGGCCACGCACGGCACGCAGGGTGACCATGGACCCCACGAGGTAAATATCTAAGGAAAAAAGGTCAAATAATCCATTTCACATCAAAACACAGCTGAACATTTGATTACACGTGCCTTTAGAGACTTCTATGACTTAACTAGGCTCATGCCGTCTAGTCTGGTAGTCGACTAGCTCTTCGGATGCCTCTGGGGCCTTATAGCTCATTCAAGGATAAATCGAACACTAGATCGGTTGCAGCGTTTGTATGGCCACCCAAAACAACAAAAATACTGATTTTTCTGAGAGAACTCTGTCCCAGAAGGATGATGATTAAAACTTTGGTAATTCATAGCAGAAATCCAAGGTATCTGCTTTAATCGCGTCGTTTTTCTGTGGATTTAGACATGCTTTAAAGGAATCAGGACCGTTCTTAAAGAAAATGCTGATGGAATCAAGTTGCAACCAATTTTATATGCTCATGGTTCGAGACCTCTTTATGATAAAGGATCTGAGGGTGCCTCAAATATACGGCTTAGCAGAAGTAAGGTAGCATTGTGTTAGAAACAAAAATAGGGTCTTGAGGTGTGCCTTAACACAAGATTTCGTTTTAAATAAACTTTTAAAAAAACTGCTGGGAAAAAAGTAATCTTGCCATTAGGACGTCGCTCAGTCTGCAGCATCAATTCCAAAATGACGTAGTCTTTGTTAGGTAGCTTGCTTAACAGCCAAGTAGTACTTAAGGCATTCATCTGTTACGCGAGCGTTTTTTATATAAAGCCCCGATGGAGTTTTTAGTCAAAAGATACCTGCTTCAATTATTCGTCCAATTACTTGGGCTTTTCGGCTACTAAGCCGATGACACGGGGTTAAGTGTCTTCTAACCATTATACTCACTTAAGATCAAGAAAGTTCATAATTTTTTTTTGCAAGACATTTAAAAATTACTGAACCCTACCTGGATATTGGCTGGAATGATAGTTTTCCTTCCTAACGTCCTAATTGATTTAGGGGGGTTCGTATCAGTCTCATTGGTTTCTAGGTAGACCATTGGTGCAATGGTCTGTCTATACGGCTCCTCGCCAGCAGCGCGTACGGTAACAGCCCAAACGATGCGTGGACGCCCACGATACATACAAGTGTATATACCCGTGTCTTTTGTTCGTGTTTGACGGAGAATGAGTTGATCCATGTATACATAGACACGAGGGGAGAAATGTTGTGTCTTTACAGAAGTTATTCGTTGTGGTGCTCTACCGGGCTTTTCCACAGTGTAAAATAAGTTTAACTGCTGTTTTGTGTAGTTTCCAAACAAAAACTTCTTTAGGAGGGCGGTTTTAGACTTGGGTCGAAGGATATCACCAGGAATAGATCCAAATCCCGCAAAGAGTCGAAAACGGACTCTTTTACAAAGAGGAAGATAATGGTTGCATTAAGTCACATTAACACTGAATAATCTTAGACAAGTAGGGGTCGATACACATTAAACTTTTCTAGAATACCCGGAAAAAGCTTCAAGCTACGTGGGTAGTGGAAAAACGATGCCATGTACGTTTAACAGCATATCCAAATGATGAATAATGGATCATAGCCGCCCATCAAAGTATGCCTTTAGTAAGCATCAAAGATCTGATGACTGCCAATTGTCTACCTGGATTTTAGTTTGAAAAAGTATAACAATTCGAATTAAAAAGTAGTGAAAATGAATACAGCCTATTGATACCTCTCACGAATGTTCGAAACATCGGATGATAAAACCTCGCCTGACTTCCTTGCCTTTTTAATTTTAGTACGTATTGATTTCATCCATTTCCTAAGGTCAAAATCCTTCTTACACTCTTCGAGGTATGGCTCACAATGCGAACATACAGAACATGATAAATGGAGACTTTCATCTTCAGTAAGGAGAGCACTGTCATAAACAACGGGACTGTCATAGCCACACGGGTACTGTGTCCATTTTATAACAGGAAGGCATTGTAAGCCGATCAATGACAGCAATAGCAATATTACAAAGTCAATCAAGCGAAAACACATTCCCCTTATTTGCAATGGTTTGACCTTGAAAAGGTTTAATTTATTCAGTTAAATTCTTGTGCATAACTGTTTGCTAATTACTCTCGCGAGATTATGTAGCAGTTCTAAGTAGAATTTGGTTTTCTAGCTTGAAACACTGCCATATTATATAACTGCGAGTTGTAATAACCAAATGAACCCATCATTGACACAGTTTAACATGTGAGTTACTTAAATGATTTTTGTGAAGATGTGTAAACTTTTGGTACCTTGCTTAAGCTATACATATGAGATTGATGTTTAAGCGCCTTCGTTAAAACTTTGCGGAAATGGCCCACTATTGTACTACCATTTAATAATCCACTCTTCTGTCATCCCATCTCCGGTTTGATGCACCTAGGTCGAGAAAAATAGTTTGAGGAAGAAATCCGATGATGTGTAATGCACCACTTAATAAAAAATGCCACTTTATGGATGAGTCCAATTTTGTCACTTCTCAGGGGTCAGTGGAATGTTCCCAGTCACAAGTTTGGTCCAATCTGCTTTCTTGCCACTTAAAATTCATATTCAAGCAAAAATACATTGCTTCATAGTATAGCATCTTTAATCTTCCCCAAGTTGTTATAAGCCATGCCAACACGAAAGAATTTTGTTGGCAGCTTACAGAAAGCTATGCAAACACCTGGAAGGCCATCTCTATGGACGGAAGTGCAAATCTGGAGGATCAGAGCCTGAGCAATTAAAAGTACATTAGAGCAAATATCATAACACTGCAATAGCATTTTGACGCAGCACAACAATCACAATTTTTGAGCCTTATATGCCAATCCGAGTGATTTACCGTGAATGCCTTCTTGGTCGAATGGTATAATCTAAATCCAAAAGCGAAAAGTTTTTCGGAATTGTTTAGCCAACACAGAATGCACCGTAGTCAATAAATAATGCTTGATTATTTTGTGCTGCTATTGCATTCACATTGGGTTAGTTTCTTCCTGTATTTATAAATCAAGACCAGAATCAAAATTATGGCAAGAGTGGGTTTGAAGTAGGATTTAGTGAAGTCTTTAGTGTAGTTTTTTGCTTTGTAAATCGTCCCAGTTCAAAGTACGGGTAAATTATCATATTATGGGGTGGGATTATACATTGTAGTTATAAAATGTCATTAACCATGTTGTGATACGACATCATTTCGCTTTACCCATAGAACATGTCGTACATGAGATTGAATTAAAACACGCAATTAATAGCGCTCGTTTGTCCGAGACCAAAAACACTGTTACCACATTATTTTCTCTTCCCACCCGTTTCACGTAAAACAGGTACACGTACGAAGTGGTTTCGCAGGGGTGAGCCAACAAAACACTACTGTAGTAGCAAGGACTTTGAAAGTAATGCTTTTCTCGAATTGCCAATTTTCATTTATCTACAATGTCATGTTGAAAGTGTTTTTTTTTCCGGACTCCGCAGTTTTCTTTATTACCACATGGTAGTGGTCACAAGATAGCCAAGCAAGTTCGTACAAGTTGTTCGGAATGGAAACTGGGTAATTGAGGTAACCTTTTTCAATGCATTATTCGATGAAGTTACAATCTGTGGTGCTTTCCCGCTGCGATGAAAGTTTGAGAATCCCACCTACGCAAAATTCTTTGTCTCCAGAAGCAAAGGATAGCTCTCACCCCCGACATCTTCATTGTTATCTCACTTTTATTTCCAAACTGTTTACTTCATTTCACGTAGGATCATGTGATTGCCAAATGCCGATACCAAGAAAAGATGCCCGTCATTACTGGGAGGAAGGTCATCAGGGAAATATGAAGTAGGAGGGTGAAAACTGGGCACCATCTCTTCCTCCCTCTCCACTGAACGCGCTCTAGGAAAACATTTCAGATAGCAAAAATGTTTCCTTCTGAAGTGGACTAACTCTACCCTTTCCCTAGCAAATTTGCGTGGATTGGGTGGGGTATAGATAGAGAAAGGGGGAGAAAGTAAGCCACTGAGGAGGGATACAGTTGTTGGTGTTGGCGGTAGCTGCAAGAGTTAATCACCAGGAGAACGGCTGCGATGTTCGCACAATCAATGAATTGCCTGCCTGCCCGCCCGCCCGCCCGCCTGCCTACACCCGTCGCCTGCCTGCCTGCCTGCTTGCCCGTCCACCCGCCCGCCTCTTCTACTATCCTGCTTTCCTCCTTGCCACTATTAACATCCGCTTACTCTCCCACTCTCTCTCTCTCTCTGGGTTTGTGTAAAATCAGATAGCAAAGTCCCAGCCCTGTCCTGCACTGGAGAAAGGGCCTGTTCATTAACCACATTTAGCTAGGCTTTAGAGACACAGCAGTTTGCTTAATTGATTCCATTTTGGTCGATCAAACCTTAATTGTTCAAATAAATGGTTCATAGTTTGGATTTGCTTGGCCATTTTTGTCATTGACACGGCCCTGGCATTAATACTTAAAAAGAAGTCAAAAAATACCGCTTATACTGCTAATAGCCTTCTCTCGGCTAATGTGAGGGAGGAAGTGGGGACTTACTGGTGTCGTAAGAATGCAATTTAGCCTATCTCGACCACCCTTCGAAAGTTCTCATTAACCACCTAAGCGAGTGCAATTTCCAACCTTAATGTAACGAAATCGAGAATGGCATCGTAGATTTGGTTTTTGGTAGCATAAATGAAGGGGAGTTGAAGCCACCTACAAGTAGGGCCCCACTTTTACATTTAGCTGCATACGTCGAATTAAAAAAAATTCAGCAAAAAGACATTTTCATCTCTACAATCTTAGTTCAAAATTCATGCCAAAATGATGCATGATGCAAAATTACTCTGTAAATACAGAAACACACACAAAGGCGTGTAATTACTCCGACGTGGACTGCGATGCCGCGCACTTGCTAGGTCAATTAGGCCGATGGCGGTTGTGACGGTGCAGCAGAAATTGCAGAACAATTACAGCCAACGCCTGATTAGCACCCGAGTAAATAAATAAATCAACAGATTTAAAATGACCTTCTAGCTGAGGATGGGTTCTTCAATAACAAAGTAAGATCTATTTTTGTCCCTAGAAGACAGGAAAGAGCCTCACCCTTTTCTCTCTCTTTTTCCTTCCATCCTAAGGTGCGGTATGGGGAACTTCTTCCGTATGATTGACGGTTTCTGAAGTAGAGAAAGAAGAATTTTTCTTGTACACTCATATGGATCGCTTTGCGTCAACTAAGTGGCTTGCAGTCATAATTGCAGGTGATCAATTCGCAGTGAGTGGTTGCATCTGCAGTACACCACACCTCTAAGTAAAATGAGCCTTATCCTAGGCGGATAAAGTCTTGCCCACCGTAGAAATGTGGGATGGATGGTGAATGTATAGCTTGGGAATGATTGGTGATGTAGTTGTTCGCTTAACGAATGTTGGAATGCAAATTCCATTTCTCATCACAAGCAGGCCTGTCAGCAACCATTCCCTTCCCTATGGCGGGTTTTTATAAGGTGAAAGAAGTGAAGAACGAAATGGTCGTCTTTGGGGCTTATTGCTAAATATTAATTAAATTGATTAAACTATTTCTTGGTGTTGCTTTCTGCTACTCTACCTTGGTCGAAAGTAATACAAGTTTGAAGAAAAGTTTTTGCGGCTTGGTTGATTCGCAATTCAGACAGGCTCAAATCACACCTATGAGGTTCAACCGACACTTAATGATATGCAAATTCCAGATAACAGGAAATTGCCCATCGACTGCTGCTTTACAGTGTGTGCTGGTTAACAATCGCATTTTGCAAGTCTACAATACCTACAACAAGTTGTTCTAGTGAGCCGTATCAAAAATTGCACTAACTTTTCGATTACTTGATCTCCGCTTGCGATTCCAGATTCTAAAAAAAACTCTTGAATTTTTAATGTCGTTTGCACTTCGTCACTTCCGTAAGCATGAATGTCATTTCAACATCGAACGGGGTGACACTGTGGCATCGGCTACAAATGTCTCCGTTACCGATTTTTTCACCAAACAAAACAACAGACTCGGAAGTGAATTTTATAGGAGATATTAAGATGCCAAATACTGTGATGTTACTTACGTAAAAATTGCACTGCCAGCTTAATATACCATATTTTGATTTTTGTTTGACTCCTCGTTTTGGGTTAGCGGGCACTTAAGGCCTAGTCGTTGTGCTTCCGCCGGGCAACACTGCCTCTGGGCCATGCCAGTAGCCCCCCAGCCATTCCGGACGGTGGCAGTGCATATTCTGCCTTAGTATTATGACTTCCTTCGTCTTTAGGAAAGTCATATGGTGATACATTGGTGGCAGCGGCAAGCGAAACCGATCCTTAAAACATCTGCCCTGATTTCCATACCTGAATGCTAAACCTCGGTGTGACGGAAAGAGGGCATATGTTGCAGATGGGAGAATATGTGACAACTCCTAACGGAAGGGTTAAAGATGACGTCAACCTTCGGCAACTACCCCAGCCCCATGGTCTGCAGAAATGCTGGTAACAAGTGAAACGACACAAGCCGTGTCCGTGGTCCATCTGGAACACGCAATACATCCTCAACCTCTCTACTACCTGCATTGAATCCAATCAGATATGGCTGAGCACCACTGAAGTGAAAACAGTGGCAAAACTCTCCCCACAGACCCGGTTTAAACCCCTTCCACCATTAAATGACTACCTTTTGGTCAGTGTTCTTAAGACTGGCGATGGATGTAAGTGATGGCTTACACGTCCCCTTCCCTTAGCACGGTTTCCAAACAGGACAAAATCCCAGATCCCGTAGAATTGTCAACAGGGCTCAGTGATGTTGCGATTAAACTTGTTCTCATTTGCTTGCAAATTCGGTGACGTGCGGTTGGTTCGTGGGTGTTTTTCCTCGCAGAGCTAACCACTGTGATGGCCGACCCAAAGATTGCCCAAGTGGGTTGCCGGGGCCGTCGCTCGAAAGAGGAAGGGTGTTGTGTGAAACTTTAAAGGGTGCTTAGGGCTTCGCCTTTGTACTTCCTTCAACCCTTCTATCCGTTGATGGTACATATTCTGCCCTAGTATTATGACCTCTTTCGCCTTCAGGGCAGTCTCGGGTTGCCTTATAATATTCGGGAAAGGTGAGTTATTACCACCCCTTAGAGTATTGATGAGGGTTAAAGTGATGGGCAAATGAAGTGTTTTCATTTAGCATAAAGGACCTGCTGTTCGTTCATCTAAAAATGTGAAAGATTAGCCACATTCAAATGTATATGGCAGGAATTCCATGACCTCAAATAAATTTTAAGCTCTGCTTTGTGGAAATTTGATGAAGGGTGCAATTGCGGAAAGTTGCTCTAAAAATAAGTTAAAGTACACTCGAACCATTTTTGCTTATAATAAACTTTACCAATCTAATCAGTCAATGTTGGGGTTGATAGAAATTACTCTTCACCTCAAGTAAAAGGACACGTGAACCCTCACCACAAGGTTGTCCAAAAGTGTCCCAAAAAATCAGGTCAGTTTAATACACCATTTAAATGTATACTTTTAATGTGTCAAATGGATTATGATTGGGTAAGCTCCCTTCGTGCGGTGCCCCCTTCAATGAAATAGGTTTGACGGGAATTCCAACTTCTCGATGCATTGACAGAGCATCGAGTAGGAACAAATGATAACGTAATGACCCGAAGAAACCTTGAGTAGGGCGTTTCACGCAATCCTATAGTAGAACAATTACTTTTAGCGCAGGCACTTCAATTCTGTACTGAAATAGCGAAACTTCTGTAAGTAATAAAAGGCTTCAGGAGTACTTGAGTATTATAGTGAACAGACCTATGCAATTCCAGCTCAAAGTAGATGCGATTCAGATGGATGAAATAGCTTAATTAATGACTTTCCTGTCTTCAGGAGACAAGACTCAGCGTACTGACAGTCTGTGTGGATCAAATAAGCACTTATGAAAGCTCAAACTCTCAGCCAGGTTGTTTTCATTTTTATGGGATCGCACCTTCTCAATAAGCAGGTTTATTTCAAATCATTATGCTAATAAGGTATTCACATCAAGAGTGATTTTTCACTAGACATCAAAAACAGCGACAAAGTGTTGATTATGAGTTTTTTATGCTTCAAGGTATAACGTACGTGTACTATTTTATGAGATGGTTCAAAATAAAGTGCTTAAGTTTTACAACTCTTACTAGTTTAGTGGTATTATCGTAAGTATTAACATTGGATATGAATTCAATGCAAGTTTTACCAGCCTAAGGCCAGTTTCCACTTCCCGTACCGGAACTTCACCTGAAAGACACAAAACTAAAGAATCACGTCCACCCAGAACACTGCTTTGATAAATCTTTTTAATTTATTAATAACGTCACACACGGGTGACATACTTGACATCAGTCAGTCATAACTAATTACATAAAATCGTACAGTAAGCAGATTACTCGACTTCAATACAACAAAGTGGGGGACAATGAGTGTCGTAGAAATCGCTCAGTTCGTACTATCTGTTTCCTCCCTGATATTTTGATAGAAAGTGTGTTTGAAGTAAAGGCAAAAATTTGAACATTGTACGTATGATGTTTCGCAGACTTTCAAGTGTGTTTATTCGATGATACACTGGCAGAATTCATCTATTTATGCTATGAGAGCAGATAGCTACCATTTTGAGACGCTAGAACGGCCGTTTAAAGAGGTTGCGTGCTGTTTTGGGTGAAGGAAGTGACGGCTCACTCTCACTTCACTGCACCTACAAGAAATGGGACAAATTAAGAGAAAAAAGCAATTTGATTAGCTGAAAAACCAATCATCAGAGTGCGCCATTTTACTTCAACATAAACAGATATGCAGGTCGCCTGACTGTTGACCTGAAAGGACCCTATATTTTGTCCGAATTTCATTGGTTAATCGGCGAGATGTTCAACTCAGAGGTTTGAGTTTAATGCAGTGAATCATCAGCTCCTTTAAAACACTAAAAATGATCAAATTGACAATAATTTAAGGTTTTCAACAGAGCTCGACTCTTTCTGGGGTACACTGCTTTGGGATTTTCAGTTTTTTACGCTTTAACAATGATTTTATGGTTGATTCTCATGGGGCGTTAAAAGATACTTAGAAACCTTTTAATTCTAGTTAGAAGAAATTAAAGTGAGCAGAGGTACGTGAACTGCATGCTTTCTTAACAATATCTAACGTTTCATGAAATAAGACCAAGAGGGAATTTTCCGTGTTGCTTTCCGTATAGATTGGGACCACAATTACTGTTTTTTTTTTCTAATCAAGAGGCTGAAACGAAATCCCAGTCTTGCCTTCCTGCTTTCTCCATGTACCTTGTAGCTTGTGCAAGCTGCGTCTGTACACCCCTAGCCAATTTTTATCTACAGTAATACTCATATAACCCTTATTAACTCGTTTATCTAATACCGATATTGGGGTCACAACTTCCATGTCTTACTCGCTTTCACCTCATTCTAGTCTAACTTAAGGGGAGAGGGTGTGAACTTACCCTTGGTTTTGATTACGCCTTGGTCTTGACATAATATCACCCGAATTACGTGAGTCACTCGCAAAAATTCCGCCCTTCTAGGAGTTGTGAGTGGCCACAGTTGTGTTTCAAGGTGGGCGAACCAATGTGCTATGCTGTCAAACGACAAATCACCGAAGGCACAGTAGATCCCTCCAGTGATGGCTGGTTGAGTTTATTTCAGGTGTGAAGCTCTCATTACTACTGATCGCAGAATATTCGCTAGTGTAGGGTTAGTTGACTAACGCAATTATTGGCTAGAAATTATGTGTGAAAATTCTGGCATTACCTGGCAATGCAGAAGTAAAATTGGCAAATGCATTCACCCGCCAATTGCGTAAAGAACAATGCGAACTCCTTCACTGTGCATCGTTTTAGGTTCTAAGTTGAAATTAAGGTATTTATGCATGTATGCATCCATACATTTGTGTGTATGCACTGCCAAGTTAATAATTCGGTTCTCTCTTCCCTTCTCTTCCTCCCTCCTCTCTAAGACGACAAAGATATGAAGGTGGGGATTTTCTGCAGGTGTAACAATCGCTGTGTGGAGGGCTGAAAGTCGAATCACAACGGGCAGGTAGATTTTGCCGCCAATTAGCAAAGTGCCTGTCCTTTGTGTCTATTCCTGTCCGTGCATATTTACACAGAGAGCGCGCGGATAGAATGGCATTGATTGTCTTTTTTTGTATAAGAATGCAGTAGTCAATAGGTTTGCCCTTCCTCCCAAGGACGACCACTTATGAGGAACATGCGCACGTGCAAGCAAGCGTGCATGCACGCACACACGCACCTCTAAGCATGCAACACGCACGCACACACACACAAACTTAAATTTTTATGTGCGCACGTGTGTGCATCCACGCGTGCATGCATGTCCAGAAGGTTGCACGCACGCACGAAAGCACACATCAACTTGACCAGTCACAATGCCGCAAGCGTGTGTTAGTGCTGCGCGAGAACACATTGCCCCAGCAGCATTTTTGTTGCGTTTTTCTGCCTTAGTGTCTGACGAGCGCACACAGTCATCAGAAGGCATCAACAACAGGTCGTCGTGTCTACTTATCCATCAAACCATTCACCCGCCTGCTCACGCACTAACTCATTCAGTCATTCACCCTCCCCTTTTGCTCTCGCCCCCTCGGATTTCTGGTTTGTGGATTTAAATCACCCGCGCACACTCCCACAAATACCTGTGGAATTTATTACTGTGGATTAATGTTCCTGGCAAGCACTTTTTGCACGTACCGTCTTATAACGACGTGAGGTTAGTGTTCTATTGCTACGAAGTGGTTTTACGTGATTTACAAACCCCATTTATGCTTGAATTGCATAAGTTTGTATGCAGAACTTCGTATTCATTCCATGCTTCAACTTTTCATACAGTAAAGTAATGCTTCTCTGAATGAATGGGGGTTGCGTCAATTTTGCAAGCTTTAAATGAAAGCGAATCCGGTGCGAATGGCATGTAGGAAAGGCCCGAAATCTGACGCATTCTAACAGCTCGTTGAAATGTAAATTAATTGCTCGTGTGGGAGTAGGCTGTGTGTAAGTGCGGTGCACCACGGACTGCCGATGATTCACTTTTGACAGCTGCAATTAGTGAAACCTAGCCTACTTTTAAGTGCTGATCCTCCGTAATCATCGCATAAGAGAGGCGGGAAAACGTGTTTACAACCCAAATTTAACCAATTTCCCCATCAGATATGCCATTTAAATTAGTGGAAAGTGACTGATTTTTAATCTAAACCCGCCAAAAATAGCTGTGCATGGTATGTTGCTGCAGTAGGCGTATATCTACAAGCGCAATGGCTGCTAAAACCGCTGCCTCTGCTGTTACTGCTACTAATAGTTTGCCCAAATCGACGGGCAAGTGGTGGAGGAAGACGAGGGGGGCGGGTGGGAACTAGGGGAAGTTTGCTGGGCTGGTGTCGCGCGCACTCACGCACACACAAGCCGCCTCTCCTCCTCTCCGCATTATACTTGGACGTTTTCACTTTCCCCTTCCCCCTCTCTAACCCTTTATGCACACACCACCTCTCACCCCCTCCTCCTCTCGCCTCCTCCTCTTCCTGCTTTTCACAGAAGCATGCGCGCGTGTGTCTGTGCGCTAACGTCTTCGTCATTCATATGTGGCTGCGTGTGTGTGTGTGCACTTGCTTTGTTTAAACACACCCCCCAGTGTGGTTTCGATTTGAATTCGAAACTGACGCTGGACTTATGGAAATTTGTGACTTGTCTAACTGCAAGGTAAATTACGTCTTGTTCAAATTAAGCAATTTCTTTAGAGTTTCGATGTGGATGAACTTTAGCGCGTCTAGTGTAATTACCTCGTTAACTTTTTTCCTATTTCAATGACTAAAGTCGCCTGTATTTTAACCTCCAATCGACCATGCCATTAAAATACCTAATTATTTCATGCCATTCTTAAAGAACCATTGCGGAGTCCTGCTTCTATTGTTAGATTCCCTACATGAATGGATGAACTACTGCTTACTCGGGATAAAAATAGTTTCGCTTTCTGGATTTAAATAACTCCCAGGTGATTTCAATATTGCACCAAAAGTGGTGGTTTCCTTTGCTTGAATAACATCTTGAGTGATTATGTGTGGGTGGGTTACTGTCTTCATCCTAGGTCCCATCTCTTCATCAGAAAACGTGGTTATGTTATGTTATTAGAGGGGATTTTCAATTACCCAGCCCATATTAACCACAGGTGGGTGTGGTCAAATTGTTCGCACATGAAACCGGTAGGAGATTATTTAATGATCCTTGGGCATCACAGCTACACGCATCACATTTGAGAGTAAATGTCAGTTACGGAGATAACATGGGCTACAGTTTGATTTATTCCTCATCGTGTCCTCAACATAAATCAGAACCTCGCTATGAAAGAAATGGGATGTGTACGTAACGGATTGTTTGCACTTAAGTACCTCCGCGTACTAATATAGAACGCGACTGAATCGGGTGTCGTTGTGTTGACGCATCACTTGCAACCGTCTCGCAGCCAGGACTCCAAGTCTGAACTGCCTTAGAGGAAGGCGTGCGGTCACACCGCAGGGCCAAAAAATCGATACGCGCCCGCTCCCCTCGCTAATCTGCGCCTCCGACTACGACGCCTGACAGGTATAAAAGAGAGGAGGGAGGTAGACAGGCAAGCATGGCGGAGGGATAGCGAATACGAAAGCGAGAGGTAAGGAGAACGATGTCCATTCATTTTTCTTCGTCTACGCTTATATGCACGTGCGCACAGCCACCACCACCACTACCATCACGGTCGTTGTTTTGCGGAGGGACGCACTTATGCGAACACAAATTGGGGCATAACGATGGCAACGCCACATTGGTTTTAATGCAGTTCCTTCAAGTGGTGGTTGTGGTGCCCGACTGTTCTGTCATTATCAACACGCGCATGGGTCGGCAGTGGTCATCTGATCAAGCGGAGAAACTCGGCAGCTGACTGTCATGAATTCGGGTTGTGATCAAACCTGTGCATTCACGCTCCAGAGGTAATAGCTCTCTCGACTGTTACTTGCCATTTAAATAGCAAAAATAACATGTCTTGTGATAGTCGTGTCATGTTTCTGATCCAACTAAAAGGGGGCGAATGACATGATTGTCTGAAAATCCGGTTACACAAAGCACGTCAGTGAAGTCCTGTTTAAAATTGTGAATCTGTGATTGGCGTACAAGCCGGTTGTCGTTGTTTCAATTAGCAACCTCCTCTATTTCCTCGAGGGTTAATTTCGCACGTTATATTCCGATTTGCACACTTACCCAGAGTCTAATTAACCAGGCACAAATTCACACCTGCCTGCCGAGAAGACTTTTGCAGCGATCGTATGTACGTCTCCATCTTTTTTTCTCGCAAAAACTCTGCGCCTCGCTTATTCTCCCCACCACTGTTCCCCATGCTTAGTCATAGCAGCCTCCATGGTCCCCTTTTGGGACGCTTTGTATTCGTATTCTAGTCTCCTCTTTCTACGCCATTCTGCATCTGTTTCTCATGCAGACCAGCCAATTTCACATTCCTTCATCGCTTCAGACACCACTCTAATCGTCCAAAATGATCCGGAAATTTGCGCACTGAGAGTCATGTCCGTCTATCATTCCACCACCTCCGGCCAGCAAAACAGCAGCTCCGCGTCCGGAGCGACAAACGGCCAATCCACAGCCGACTCCGCAGGCAAAAACAATCTCGCCTTGGACTATCTGGCTAGTGTATTTGCTTCCAATGGAACTATACCACCAACCCCTCTACCACAACACTCAGCAGCTAGTAATTTAACCCCCAGCACTGGAGATATCATGAATGCACTTATTGCTGCCGCTGCAGCCGCCGCTGCTGCTACCACCACAAGTTCTGCGGCTTCCCCCAGCTCCATGGACCCATTCACTGCTTCAACCCTGCTCTGTAAGTTTTGCTGTGCAGTATCTGTTTTTTAATGCCATATCTAGAATTATCAAGACCTCCGTTTGTTATGAAACGAATGATGGTGGGTTCTTCTAGCTGGTGAAGGAGTTGGCTAATTTAATCATTGGGTATCTGTTTGCAAGGTGTGCCCTCATTAGCCGGAGCGGCATTTTATGTGGAAGCCTGGAGTTTTATTAAGTTTAAGAGTGCACAAAGGAGGTGCTGTTGGCATAATTCCACATGCGGAATTACTAATTGCGAGATTCATTAAACTGAACTATAGGCGTAAGTCAAAATGAGAACCGAACCTGTCTCCACGGTACTAGAAGCACGTGACTCGGGTACCTCGCGCAAAGTTGTAAAATCTGCAACAATCGGGTCCGCTTTACGTCCTTATTTTCAAATGAAAATAGACGGAAAGGTGCCGCACTGTGCATACAGATCTTTACTGCAATAAACGACGATTTCACTGACTAACTGAATAATAATTTTGCAGAATCGTGACGATTCCTTGATTATAAGCAAACAGTTTCGGCCACTTAGAGGTTAGTTCACCAATCTTAGTGCATAAATAGCACACTGAATTCACCAAAAAACCTCACCTTGCCCTGTAGATTTACACTCGTAGGCAGTATGGGATCTATTGAACTTTTATTGTGAAATGTAAGCACTCAATCGTTTGCCGAATCGCAGGATTCGCAGCTTTTCACTCAACAAGGGTGCTGCGCGCTCAAGTTTTGCCAAAGTACTGCCATTTGTCCCCAAAATTCTCTTGAACTGACCTCGTTTTCAGTTGTTTTAACCTGCCGAGATCATAACAAGTGCCAATTATATTCGCTTTCATTTGTCTTTTACATCATTCCAGAATGGTAGCTTGCGAATATATGGTAGTTGTCTTCTATTACTAAACGACATTTCAGGAATAGCTTCCTTACATTGCGGAATCATAATTGCGTATATTTGCTCGTCTGCCTGTCTGTCTGCCTGCCGGTCTAACCAGATTAAGAGACAACCCCGTTTGTAGGAGGAAGACATCAAAATGTAACCTTGGTTTTATTATTACCATCATATTCTTCAACACCTGAATCATTAGTCATCACCATCCTGTGAAGCTCACTCTTAAATGGTCGAGAGATTAAAATACTTCTTTACCTTCAGCCTCTCTGATGTACAGCCAACAACAGCAGAGTACGGTGGTTCCATCGAGTCTTTATCAGTCTCCAACGGACCTCTATTCTCCCAAATCCAACCTCCCTCTGGATCCTATCCTCTTTGCCCATCACGCTCTAATGCAAGCGAATTTCGATGCATCAAGCCGTCACCATCCAACTAACCACCACCAGCAGCAGCATCAACAACAACAGCAGATGGCACTTGCGATGGCCAGTTTGCTTGGCCAATGGAGCTCCAATCCCTTTCTCTCCCTCCAACAGCGTCGTGATTTGTGTGAGTCACCGACTGGTTGCATTTTCGAGGACCCTGTTCAATCATGTCTACTGTCGATTTTGCTTACAATTTAAATAATCTGCGATTGGTCTAATAGCAATACAGTTTGCCAAATAATGAGCCAGTGTAGTATTATTCCACCTCAAATTCTGGCATTTTAATTCAATAAGCGGTAAAATTTTGATTTAACGTGAATCTATTTAGATGTGCTTGGCATGGCAACGCGCCGTCCTAGAATAGACTTCAGGTGCTTACAAGTAGTGGCACCAGTGTCCTGATTTGTGTGATTCATCTCCCCCCCTCCCACGGGAGGGGCTGACTAATTGACCAGCAGAAGCAGAGGCAGCAGCAACAGCAGTAGCTTCGGTGATGATAATTGCTGCCATTGTTCGCTTTTGGGGACGTCATATGCAAGCACAGCAGCAGATTTATCTCCCCAATTAAAATACCTTTTTCCTTACTCTAGATTTTATTTTAGCCCTTGTTATTAAGCAAAACTCCTCACCGTCACTCTCCTGGAAATATTACCTGGCCTTTGTATTGCAATTAGCGAGAAGGAACTAGCTACCTTCCTCGTAAATTGACAACCATTGTCCTTGCGATGAAATGGGTTTTCTCCTCTCCTTCATAGGTCCTATTTCACCAAAGTAGCTTCAAATTGCTTGGTTTTTTACGCAGAGTTGAAGTCATGTTGAAATTTCACACTTTGCTAGGCTTTATTAGTTGTGATTGTGGTTAGTGCTCAGTGTGATCGCACTTTTACCTTGGTGGCATTGAATTTACTCGAAATTAAGTGGATGATTAGAAATTATATGCGCAAATCACATTTTGAGATACACATAAGGAGAATAATTATTTGAGCGATTTTTTTACTCTAGCTAGTTCAACTATTCCATAAATAATGTCTAGCCACTTTTGTTAACCTGATCCAGCATGTTTTGTTTTTGTTTTTTCTTCTACAAGCGAATCGAGTTGCATGCTACAATTCTTTTCATTTAAGGCTAAAGCACTTTAACATCACCCTACTGCTTCTTTATTTTTCATTAGTCATTCCTTTTTTGCCTTTGTAAACAAAATGAAATTTAGTATCAGTTTCTGATATCCATCCCAGTGATTAAAGAAGATTTTACTTTCTAGAATATTGCTCTTCGAACACCACAGGTTACGGGATTGGTTCATGAATGTTGCTATTTTAAAAGTTTCTCAAAAACTGATGAAATTCCCAAACAGCGGTTCCACTGAGATCGGTAGCAGTTAAGCTTTAACTCTAAAACGCGGGTTGAAATGACACTTAAAGTGCATCGAAATTTAAAGTTTTAAACGATGCTGCATCCATTTTTAAGAAAAGTGATATAGAATTTGCTTCACTTAGTATCTGACAGACACCAACTGGTTAATTTTAGGCTCTTATCATGCAGACAGTGTGGAGGAGACCTCGACAACCGCAGCACCAACAGCCGGGCCGGACGAGTCCTTCAGTTCCGTTTTGGCGAAGTTAACACAGGGTCTCAACCAGAGCGGTAGTGCATCCACTCCTTCCTCTGCCTCCTCTCGGGTGAGTCCCCCTACCACCTCCACTGGTGTGTTCGCTCTCTCACAACGTTACAAATTATTCGCACCGACCACTCTTTCGCTGCCTTCGTGCCAAAGGTCGCTTGTGCTGGAGGTTTTGTGCACAAGCGTCGGTCGTCATAGCAACTCTTACTAGCACGGCTTGAACAAAGGTCAACAATTGCTACGAATAAGAGCAAGATGGGACCTTAAGGACACCGCTTTTCACCTCTGCAACGGTTCCCACATCGTTATTTTCGATAAAAAACATTTAAGAGCCTAAAAATCTTTCATTGCGGTCACGATCGAGTCATGAAAACTCCCTATCATAAAAAGTAAGTTCTCGACTACAACCTTCACCACCTCTGCTTAAGTGCATATACCACTTCAATTGAGATTCACTTCTGAAATAAGTACAAAAAAGATTCAGAAACAGTGACACATGAAAACACTTTAGTCAGTTCAGCTTTTGTTCAATGGGTCAGGCTAACTCCTATTATAGTTCCCAAATTACATTTGCAATTTTTTTAAGGTGTAAGATGAATAAGAATTATGGTAATATAAAGTGGTAGACTGATAGAGTAGGTACGGTGGAGATTAACTTTTCGGTTGTCTTCCAACCAGACTCCAAGTTCATCACACGGCCAGACGAAAGATTCGATTGTCTCAACAACATCAGTTTCAACATCATCCTCTGGGGTCCTGACGAATACGTCAAGATTTCCTCTCCAAGAAGCCGGAGAGAATGCCGCAGCTTTTGCTGCCGCAGCTGCACTGACGGCTCTGCAGCAGCAGCAACAACAACAGCAACAGAATCGAATGGCGGCCTCCAAACAGTCTTCCCACCTATCTCATCGGTCGACGCTTCTGGGGACAACACTAAGTCGCGAAGGTCATCCACACAGGGGCAGGGGAAGACCTCCCAAGTCCTCTTTAGCCCTAACCAGGGTGGGTTTCCAAAGTGGAATGTGCTAAAGGAACACCGCGATATTTGGATCGGTTCTGCCTATTTCCAGATCTCTCATCCATGTCACGATAATATAGCTCCTTTTGAGACTTTTGTGAGCTCAATCTATCCCTTTTGAGGTAATAATAAAGTGTGCTAGCACAACTGGCAGATATTAGAATTGCACTTAACATTCTTAGCTGGCAAGATGAGAGAGTTACTGAAGCGTTATACCCAGGTGTCACATGAGAGCATCTTTAACATGATATTTTTGCCTAATTTTCTCATTAAGGCAATGATATGATGTTTCGTCACTCTTTTTAATGCATTCCAAAAATAATTCATCTCGCCCATATTTTAAAAAAATTCAAAGATTTGCTATAAAGGTCTGAGAGGCAATGCGCTTTAGGTCCAAATACTGGGTATGGCCGCAATAACTTCTGAGTCAGTCGACATAGCACAATACGACTTGTCATTTCACCGGCTGAAAGCAATGCTAAGTGAGTTGACTTTTAAGAATGTAATTCACTGCTAAGGTGACAGATGCCTCACCGACTCGACCTTAATGGGATTTTAACTAGCACCAGGTACGCAATGCTTGGAGAGCAAGAAGGGATTGGAGTAGGGTGACTAAATTGATATGCTGTGATGCCAATAGCTCGTCAAAGAGCTGATCCCCATTGTTCTCTTGTTTGCCTGAGATGCCGCTTTTCTCTACTTGATCCCATGAGAAGTTTCATCTAGCAAGGCTCATTTGCAGCCTGAAAAGGTTGTCCGTTGCAGAAACAGTTAAAGCATATGATTAGCAAGTTTTATTTTGATGAGAAGTAAATGGTTTCATTAAAGTGGGTGTTCTGGGATATGCTATTCGTCCTAAAATTTATTTAGAAATTGTAAAACCACCATATTTTCTGAAGTGGTTTAAGAGGTCAACTTTCTCCGATTAAGAGTTGTATTTCGCTTCGCACATATCCTCTTAAAGACTGTCAACGATGTCAAAAATGGTAAATACAAGGTATTGGACTTCTACATCGTCCTATACTGTTGGCAAGAGTTTTCGCCGTAGACCCAAAGCAACTCTAAACAGCAACAGTAATAAGGTTTTACATTTGATGGTTTTTTGTCTAATTTAACGTTTCTTACCATCCATCACAAATTACAATCGTGATTATGTGGCGATAATGTAGTGGTAAGACAATCTAAACCAAGTTAATTGATGGACTCACTCCTGATTGTTTAACTAGAATGTGTGAGTCCAAATATATTGCAAGCATTAATTGGTCACCCCTGACGCCTCTATTCCATCTCTGAATGTGCAGACTCCATTTGATAAACCCTCCCGAGCTACGACCTCGACCCCACAGCCTGAGTCCTGCCTGGCCGACTCGAACAGCATCGACGGAACCATAACCGATGTGCTCAAACGTCTCAACGACTCCGTCGATCTCTCGGGCAGCCGCAAACGAAGGCGCATTGCCTCTACCGAAAAAATGACCCCCAGTACTGCCTCTGCAACTGCTGCAGTTGCCACCACACCTACATCATCTGGAGCTCCTGTTTCCACATCCAAATCGGATACCTCAGGTAGGTCCTTGCAGCAGGTTCCTCTCGAGGAGCTGAGTGGTTAGACCATCAACCTTCTCGATCCATTGTAACTCCATTTTCTTCCGATAACTGTAAAGATGTTGTCTTGAGTCAATGAGCTATTACCGGCGGGAAATGAATGCAGTGGTTCTGTGTTAAGCGATGATCTACGGGTTAGGCATGGTAGGGTTTGAAACTCACTGTAATGATATTTGCGCTTGACTAGGTCTGAGAAGGTTGCTATAGCTATGGAGTCTCTAGTGAGCACTAAAAGCAGATGCTTTGACCACTTGGCATTGGCATGAGCATGAAAAAATAACAAAGTCACGTTAAAACAACTCACCAAGCAAAATCTTGTCTTGTCGTCTACTTCCAATTTCCGAATTCAAAGACATTTACAAGTAAATTCAATGGTCCCTAGTGGGTTTTAGTTTTTTAACTTTAGAGAAAATCTATCCATATTTTACTACTTCACTTAGCTAGGGCTGGATAAATACTCTGAAAATTTTATCTGTTAACCAAAAAGCAATCATGGTCAGCAACTGCGACAAGGGCGGTTCTTTCAAGCATCATAACTGTTTTATTGCGTATAGCGCAGAAACTCTTGTTAAATATATTCAAATGTTTTTTCACCCTGACTGAATTACTTCAAAGAAGCATGTGATTTTTACTTTGTAATAAGCTCTCTTTGAAGAATCGTGGTAGGAAATTCATTTCTTAGGGAGTCGATGTTTAATAAACGTCATTTTTTATTTTAGGTCACAAACGAGTACGGGGCTTCGCTGACAGTGGTTACCGACTTCCCTTGGGTTTAGGGTGTGTTTGAAAAACTGTCGACCCGCTCAGCTCACAGATTATGTTACAAAATTGACAAAAATTGCCATTTTTTTTCAGCTGGCGCCGCGAGACCCTCGTGAAGGGTGTCGGCCCAGGGGGCCTGTTGGGAGACGTAGTCTATATCGCTCCCTGCGGTCGTCAATTTTGGAACATCGAGGGTATACGAGAGGTGAGAAGGATTGCAAATCTCTCTACTTCGTTCGTGGACATTAGGCTCCAACTATCGAGAGCACATCAAGACGGTGGCTTACTTGAGCTCAAGAGGAAGGTTTATTTAACCAATATGGACATGTGGCATTTAAGTGGCTTCAACTCCCTTTGACATGAACAATGGCATCCATGTGAACGTACTCGAATCTTAAAATGCCACTTTTTGTCCCTGCGTACATCCGACATGACCTGATTTGGATTCTACTTGCATAACTTTTAACGTTTCAATCAACACAAATTCACATTAAAACCCGACCGCAACACCTTTGGCACCGCTCTCGTCCTTAAAACAAGTACATTTGGATCGGCTTCATTCTACACGCATTTCATTTTTCACTAGTCGGAGGAAAGAAGGGCGGTAGTAGTAACCATTCAAACAGGCTTCCATATTGCAATTTGCCATCACATTCTAGTAGGCGAAAATCTTTCTCACACTGTGGACTGCTGAAAATAGCACTAGAAATGTAAAAAGTCGGCTTCATTTACAACTGGCACGACTGTCTGTGGCTTGCAACAAAAATTAGGTACTTTCGTTTTTTAATGATGTGAAGTCTCTTTAAAGCAGTGGCGTTTTCCAGGCAGACATTGAACTGAGATTCTCTTTTGTCGTTAATCTAGTACCTTCGATCAGTAGAGAACAGTATTTTAACCGCAGAAGATTTCACTTTCAAATCCTACATCCGTCTTGGCGACTATTACGAGTGTAACAAGGACTCGAAGGTATACAGAAATGAACAATAATAATAATAATAACTCAAGTTCGAATTGTTTGCATAAGTGGGAAATTTTATGCGCTTCCTTGAAGGGGTTTGTGAAGATGTCCGAGGCTGCTGTGAATGCACTCATCACCACTGGCCAAGATTCCCCTTCCAGAAGTCATCGACGAACGCCTCAAGCGGTTTTTCCTCCTACTTCTCTCCCATCCACCACCGTCACCGCTACTACTTCCATCCCACCCACCAACACTGCTGCAAAGTCACTTTCAGGTTCGTTTTGAAAATAAACAGCATTTTTGTTGATATTAGCCTCTTACACACGAAAGCGAGATCTCGGTCCCAGCTTTTAAAGATTACTTGGGATTTTTTCCCAAGACAAAGTAGTCAAACTGTTTATAAAAGAGGCATAGATGGTTATTTCATTTTGTTTTGCTGAAAATGAGTGGTGTTAGCAACATCCTTCAAGGGGTGGTCTCTGCGACAGCACTGACATTTTGCCTTTTAATTTATCAGTAAATTACCTTGAAAGGATAAATTTGCAGCAGACGGAATCTGGTTAGACTATGGTGTTGTATGTTCAACACGTTCACTGCCGGTATCTGATACATTTATGAGGCTCTGATTTCTTTAGTTGAGCCTGCACGTCACAAATGTGAGACATATGTTCTTCATCACCTTACGATAGATTGGCTGCATCAATTCATGTCTCTAACGGATTGGTTAAATTTAACACAATAAGGCAAACGTAGGATTTTCTTGATCTGAGAGTGATTACACTTTTTTAGGCTTGAAGCAGCTGCAGTTGAATTGGTCAAAACAATTAATGACAGTGAATGCCAAAAGAAATATTCAGGCTGTGGTGGTTGGTACCCCACTGAGATTCCGGCAGTGAAGGTATTAAAGATGGACGGAAATAGGGGTCAAGTTTAGACAAGACAACCGTCAAAGGCAGCAAAAGCCGCAGAATTCAACACATTGTGCGAAAAATATTTTTATAATTCTAGTCTGGGTTCCATGCAATATTCCTGTTACCAGATCCCTGGAGTTGTGATTGTTATAGAATACGATTTTTTCCGAGTTTATAGAGTCTTTTGAAAGGATTAGCAGCTATCAGGTTTTCAAAACAAAGTACTTCTGGGAAGACAAGTATTACGGGCCGTCAAATCACAAGAAAGACAGCAACTTTACTACTCCACCGCATAGCACAAAATAAATCCATTTTCAAGTGGTGTATTGCTTGAGCTAGTAAAAAACACCCTTCCTTACTCTTTGGATGTTTATTTATACTGCACCACCTGCATTAAACTCATGAGTTGATTTGATCCCAGAAAAACAGCAGAAACAGAACAGAATAGTGGGTACAATCTCGAACAACGCTTACAACCACCCATCCAGGCAACAGACGGTATTTAAAATTTTTTCTCTGCTCTTAATAATATAGGTTTAGCCTTTAATCCTGACCTCATGGCTGCAATGGCGGCAGCGAACGTGGAGAACTACTCAAAACCGTTCACCGATTTCCACTTGGCTCTGCCTCGGTTTCCCAGCCTCCCGCCCCAATTAACCGCAGTGCTGGCCAATCAAATTGGGTCCTTGTGGTCGCCATGGCCAGCCGATATTCAAAATACCGAAACTTCTGCCGTGGCTGCATCGCCTCCATCGACTACTTCGTCCACTTTTGCGCTCCCTTCCACTCAGCAGCAGCAGCAACCTCAGCAGAAGGATCGCTTCTCCCTCCAGTCTTCAAGTTTGAGCAGTCTTGAGGTAGAATCTAAAGTAGATTTTTGCCTTTCTTGTTATTTTTTCACCTCAGTTGATTTTATTTTAATTTCTTAGCAAAAATTGCTCAAATGTTTTGGCGTAATTAAGGGGCTGATTACAAAACTTACAGAATAAACCAGCTTTCGAGGCCGAAGCATTAAGCCGCTAGATTTTGAGGTTAACTTCGACCAAATTCGAGGACTTATTAACGCTTAAATAACAAACTGTTGGAACAATGTACCTTTTTCTGGTCCCATTCTGAGTTATTTTTGAGTAAAAATCAGTTTTTGTACATTTTGAGTCTGAAGAAAAAATCCAGATTGTGAACCCAAAACCTCCAAAGTTTTGTGTCTCTATCAATTTTAGGATTTTGATCGACTTCGATCCTTCTTTACGAAACTCGTCGAGGATCATCAACGTCTAGAGAACGAGAAAGAGACTCAAAGAAAGGCCGATCTGGAGGCTCAAACCGCAAAAGCACGTGAAGAGGTATTTTGACCATATAAGTAATTAGTTTGGGATTCCAAAGCTCATTCAAGTGGCAAATGGTTTGACGGTTGAAAAGAAATTAAATTGGTAATCAAATATAAAATTCTCTCGCATTTTGCCCTATCATTTTGAATTCATTTGGCACCAATCATAGTTAAGACGTATTTAAAACAGAAACCGTGGCCTATTGTCATGGAATCGCTGTTTATAGGGTTCATTTGTCGTGACGCAAATACCATTAACTCGTTTTTTCACTGTAATAGCCAATCTACAAGAAGAATTATAATACAGTCAGAATTCCCTTTAGGTTAAGCAGTAACAATCAGTATTCTCGTTTTTTTCCTTTAGACCCCTTTGACCCAAACTCTGAATGTACTGTTTGTTAAGACTTTCTAGGTGTAATCGTAGCTGAGAGGAAAAGTGTACTACTGAAATGCACTACTTGAGACCCAATGACCTCACTTTATTTAATTGGATTGACTGCCAGTATTACTTCAAGGCATAGGCATATTTCTGGCTATAAAAAGTGCAAATGGCTTCAATTACAGAATTTCTAGCTCAGTGCTCACTGCCACGGACTATCGCTTACCTCAGTTTATACTTTCCTTGTTCACACGAACGATGCGGAGGCCTTTTACTTTACGGCTTTGTTAACCGAGTAAATCCGACTCTACTATCCTTTGGCAAGAGTTGAAAAATGCTTTCTATATACCACTAAAGTAATTGACTCCTAGTATTTCCCTATAGGGCAGCAACTCGACATAATAAGCATTCATTCTCGGTACGAAAGTGGGACGATTTTTTCAGGCTCTTAAAAAGCTCTAAGTTTTTTAATGATTTAAGTTTGAATTTTGATCGACACTGTTGCAAAAGAGAACAGATTATAACCGACTCCTTCCACTTTTAGCGTGTTGCCTACCTCGTAGACGAAGAGTTACGAAGGCCTGTGGAGGATTTGAATGTCCTCAATCCCAAGGTGAGTTCGGGAAGTTATTTGAAAATATTTCGTTCCGCTTTGCCTATCCATATTCGTAGGCATGCGGTCAAAGCGGTTGCCCTAACAACATGTGCACACTCAGGTAAGCCGGGAAGGCCTATAGTGTGACTCCATTGATTGTCTGGGCAACACACATGTCGGCATCCACACACACATGAAGAAACCAATTTGCCAAATTGGCAGTTATTTTTTTTTTGTTGTTTTTCTAAATACTATCTCTCTTTCCCCAGGGAACCGGGGAGGGGAAGGGGTAAGACAGGAATTAGCCAATAGGGAGGCGGGGAGGTGGTGCGTGTACGCGTAAAGAGGCTACAAATAACGATTGGCGGTTTCTTCAACAGCGTCATCATCTACCTCATCACAACCACGACTGCAGCCGCCACCAGCATCACCCTACTTTGTCTATTTACGCAGCTAGTTCGCATACTTTTCAGCTCACGTTGCCCATTTATCAAAAATTCTCCCTCGGATAGCACCTTTGATGAATGCAGTTTGTTTTGTTGGGTCCTCAAATTTAGGCTTTAAATTCACAGAAAAAGGTGTCGAGAAATTATTATATTGAGCTAACATTTGATGCAGCAATGTGCCCTTATCACACGACAGTCAGAGTTCATCCATGTAAAGTCGAGATTATCAACATTCGCCATTGCTCTTTCACATCTTTCAGCAGAAAAGTGGTTCAAAAGTAGTAACTATCTTCCCTTCGTTAAGACATTGTGATGGGTTCCTCTTTGCGCATTCGCGACATTTGTAACAGGGTCTTGTGAACACATTGCCTCAAATCAGGAAAATGGTTGCCTTTTAAGAAGTCTGGACAGTTTTCGTTGAAATGCAACTGGTTACCTTCTAGACTTTGTGATTGCTGACCTTCGATCCATGACTTTGAGTGTAACGCTTAGGTGAATGGGTCCTTCAAGACATCTGTTTTACCCTTTAAAACTGGGTCTAGGACTCTTATTTTGACTGACGACTTTGAATCATAAGATTTCCCAAGCTTTAAAAATTGATTTGGGTGTTGACGGATTTCGTGAGTTCTTCAAAATTTTAGCTGAATTAGTTTTATTGTGCATGGGGATCGCTTTTTGCCCCGCGTTGTAATAATCAAGTCCATTAACCCCCACTTCCGTAAAATCAACTTCCTCATTTTGAAGTTTTGGATCTTAAATTGGTAGTTTTCCTGAGGGCGAGGCTCTCCTAAGGTGATTGTTCGGGAACTACTCCACTAGGAGGAGGTAGACGATATTTTAATAAGCAAGTTTTATGGTCTAAGTTTGAATGTGCACTGGCCAAAAGTCTAGCTGGGAAAAACACGAAGTTATGGCTTTGCAAAACTTTGGCCTCAGGTTACTTTAATGGGACTTCTAAATTAGTAAGACTCGTCGGTCTGCCTTACCGTGCTAAGCAATTAATCACTCCCTTCCCTCCTGCCCCTTAACTGGTTATTCGTTTTGTTTTGCCAGTGTAGAACCAACTTGTTTCCGCGCTTCAGAATCGCAGGTCCAGTCATGCATACAGAACTGACTAAGCAGACCGTTCATATAGTTTAAATGCTACTTGGTTTGAGTTACAATTAGTCTCTGCTTTTCCTCATTTACTAATTTCCATTTCTATCGTTCAAGGTTCTGCCTGAATTTGATCGCATTGACGGCAACCGAATGCCTAGCCAAGTATTCACTGATTGTCTTTTTGTTTTGGAATTCCTTCACGCATTTACAGAGGTCCTCTGCATCGGTGAGCTAACCTTGACGTTTTTCGATCTACTCACATATTATAAGTAGAATGTTGCAAACCCTCCGTACTCTTTTAAGATCCTGAGACCATTCCGTCCATGCGGTGCATGCAAGCGGCATTCATTGATAGGGATGATACTTGCATCGAGGTTATCAATCACCTCATTATTGAACTACTAAAATTCGCTATTCTCGACCCTGGTATTCCGACACCTCGACTGGTATATTCAAATGGCTTTGATCTTTTGTATGCCTTCCTCTTGCCATCTTTCGTCCATAGCTAAGACACTACTTTCATTGCCCTTGTCTTTAGGTAACTCAACTTTTGAGCCAGCGGTTCAGTGAAATGGAAGTAAACACTCAGACAGTAACCGGACTATTGCGTGTCTTTCTCATTGGTCGAAATGGTTACGAGGACGAGATGTCTGATTGGCTGGCGCCCTCGAATGTAGGTCATCTTAAGGATCTTTCGGGTCCTCAGTTGGCCAGTCTCCTGGCCTTCATCTGTGATGAGCTGACTTGCTCTAGTCGTATCATCTCGAATGAGGTCGATCGAACCATTGAGTTGCAGATCTCGTTGAGAAGGGACAAGTTCAATATAGAGGCGAAGATTCGGAAGTACGTCCAGAAACTGTCCAGCCAGTCTTGATCCATTCGTCTGTTTATCCACTTGCCCATTTTTATATTTGTTATTCATCCATTCTAGCTCCATCCACTCAATGAAAAAGCAATATTCCTTGAAATTCTTCTCTCCCTTTTTTAGAATTCGTGTGATTTTAGCGCGGAAATTCGGTTTGGATCACACGGTTAATTCGAGGGGATCAGAGGAAGAGAATGGCAAAAAGCAACCTGCTTTTTTACAGAGCATGCGTCAACTCGCGCCATTCCAAAATTACGACTCTGGTGATGAGGATGAGTTGAACAGTGTGGATGAGTTGGAGAAATGCATAGAGGAGTTACATCACTGCCTGGAGGCCAAACAGCGGGCAATCGAGGAGTGCTCCTTCCGACTATCGGGGTTGTTTTTGGGTCAGGATCGGTTCTACCGGAACTACTTTGTCCTCGGCAGCGTAGGGGGCATCTATGTGGAGGGACAACCGACGGTTTTCAAGGAGGGTTCAGCTATTCGCGATGTACCGCCGGTTTTCGGTCCCGATGCCATCGTGGCCGAAATCAAGGCTCGAAGGGAGCTCTCCATAACCCGACACTTCAGTACAAACTCTAGCAGTACCTCTAGTAATGGAGTATTGACACAAAAGCCAAATCCTTTGCGATCCACATCGAATCCTGGTGTACTGATAACGACAAAGACTGAAAAACAAACTGCGATGAGTGAGAATGAAGAGGTAAAAAATGAAGAAACACCACTGATCGAGAATGAGGCTAATTTGGAGAAAAAGTGCGAGTTAGAAGAGGAAGCAAAAATAATGGAAATTGTTGGAACCTTCACAGAAGAGTCCCAAGAGGCGATCAGGAGAGTTAAGGAAGTGGAAAAGAAGGAGGATAAACAGGTGAAAGATCAGGAAGATGATAATTTAGAAGAAGAATCAGTCTCTCTGAAATCCGAGGAGAGGATGCCAGAAAAGAGGGAAGATCCTGAGGAATCGACAACTTGGCAACCACTGGACCTCTCAACAAAACGGTCCTCACCTCCACCTCTACTCTCACTCTTGCCTTCACAACAATCTGATTTGTCCCTTTGTCAGTCTTTGACGGAGCAGGATCTGGCCTCTGCGTTAGATGCATGTCAACTTGATGACACCTTCTTGACCACTGCCACCCTCCTTTACGCCACCCAGACCGAGACTATCGATCGCTCCGCAATCGTGGGTGGTTGGACAGACCCTAGCTGGCATGTCCAGCTGCTCTTCTACAAACTCCAATTGCTTCGGTCGATAGCTTTTGAGAGGCGCAAAAACTGTGAAAACGATGAGAAAGCGCTTTCAACGGCATTAAGACAGTTGAAGATGTGGTTGGCGGACAGCAGTTTGGAGGGCGGAGAGGAGTGGGAACACTTCAACACATCCAATGCTAATAATGTACAATTTGACGACGGGGAAATGGCAAAGGAGGTAGAACGGATCCTCAAGGAGAGAAAGGTTCAAGAAGCTGGGCCCGAGTCGCTGGAATTAATTCCGGCTGATGCAAAAGGGAACTGGTGGCGATTGAAGGGATCGGAAGGACTGCAGACTCTACTTGAGGCGCTACTCCCGAGAGGCATTCGGGAGAGGGGTTTGGCCCAGACTATCCAACTGTCTGAAGAGGCTGTCACCTCGTCGATCCATGTCGACCCTTCGACTGGTGCGTGTATATTTCCTTGATGTCATTTCAAGATTCTTATGAAGCTGTCACGCGTTGTCGATTTCCTTTGTGCTGAGTTGATTCTTTATTAATTGCGTAATTTCTTAAGCTTATTCGGCTTCCAGTTAAATCAACCTCACATTCCGTGAATATCAAATATAAACTCCATACAATTTAACACAAAAATGGACTCGAGCTATTTAGTTGCTTCCTTTTTCCCATTAACACTGGATTCCCGTTTCTATTTTTCAGCTTTCGCAGTTAGTCGTAACATTCTGTTTTGGCATTAAAATCAATGGAAAAAGAAACCGGTCTCAAAAAGCCTAACCGATGGATTCTTAATTCAGTTTTGGACCTCAATTCTACCTCGAACTCCTCTGAGGGCAGTTGGAAGCCACGCCTTCTGCGAGTCCGTTCGCGCCGTGGCAAGGGCCGTGGAGCTAACGCATCCAGTCCACTCTGCTCCACCTCCTCAGCCGCCAATCTGTCCGCTCTCAGCTCTGGACGTCACTTCGCAGCCTCCGTCTCGCACATCTCCTCGGCGACAAATCTCTCTGAAATCGCCGCAGGCGATGTGAGCACCTATGCATTCCACGGAGATGCAGAGAATTCGCTTGGAGCTACCATGGAGCGGAGTGTTTTTCTTGGAGAGAACTTTGAGCGAGCGATGCGGGCGGGTAGGAACTCCACTAATTCAGCAGCCACAACAACAGCGGCTGAACGCGAGTTCCTCGATGAATACCGATTTTTGGAATTGGTTGAAGGACTGGTTGACAGAGTCCTTTCAGCTAGTTTGCAGACCAAAGGCTGGCAGGTAGAAATCATACTATGCAAACAACTTAATAGTGCTTCAATTTTCCGCTCAACGTGAAATTCATCTAGAAAGTAACGTCGAAAGTACAGCTCTTGTCTCAGTCTAAGTTGGAAGCATCCAGTGTCAACTACTACTAATTAATGGCAAACCTTTTAGCCGAACAGTTAAATGGAGAATCTCAGTTGTCTCGACAACTTAGGAGAATACCCAAATTGTCACAGTGAACCGTGTCACAAAGTGACTGGTTAAATCTAAAAGAATAAGGTAGGTGTGGGATGTTCTCGGTTCGAAATGCGACGATAGAGGCTCGAGCACTAGCCCTTAATACATTCTTACTTAAAGGGAAATTCTATAATTGTAAAAGAGGTTAAATAAATTACCTAAGCGTCTAAGGTATCATCCAATATCTTTTGTGTAAATACTAAGAACTCGGTCATGGACCTTCTGGATTTTGTCATCATACGTCAGGACAGGATTATTTCCCTCTTCTTCATCCACAGGCTCCAATGAAAGCAACCGAGGACGACTCCATACAAATCGTGCCACGTGACACACCCAAAGTCTACCGCTACGACTACTGGCCCTTAGAACTAGCACGAGAACGCCTACTCGACCTAGAAGCTCACACCGAGCGACGCTATCTGCTGCCACCTCTGAACTGCGAGTCGCGGCTCGATGCTGTTCAGGCGCAGGCAGCAGCAGCTGCAGCAGCCGCAGGAGAGGAGGCAGTAACGTTGGTGGAGGGTAGCGGAAGCGTCTGTAGCGACTCTACTATACACGAAGAAGCTGCAGCAACACTTCGCTCACATCCTCCACCGCCGCACATCCGACGGCGCGTAATACGGCGCAGCGAACGCGAGGCAGAGGGTGAAGAGGGTGACGGTGGTAGTGGTTGTGGGGGTGAGGGGACCTCAGGTGAAGCACAGGGTCTCTTGCTATGGCGACGCAGCACTCGTAAGGCGGACTCCGTGGCGGAGCTTAAAAGATGTGCTATGCAGTTCGAGGCAGCGATTGCATGGGACAAGTCCATCATGAAAGTGGTGAGTGAAAGATAGGCAATTCATAGTTTGTAGCAGCTACCTCTGCAGATACTCTCCCATTCTAATTTGAGGTTGCAGCATTTAGTGTTTAGTCTACTCTGTGATGTATTAGAGTATTGAGCGTAATTTCAAACTACGAGGAATCTCGGAGAAGTTTGTAACGATGTCCCAAATTGTTGGAAGCATCTAACGAAGAAATAAAAAGCAACAGTAAGTGATTCCTGATTTCGATGCTGTTGAAAAGGTGCCCAGTTATTCATCCACTCATGATAGATTCCACGTCAGTTTCGTTTTATTGTTTCAGCTATGCCAAATCTGCCGGCGCGACAAGAATGAGGCACGTCTGCTGCTATGCGACGGTTGCGATCATGGCTACCACACTTACTGCTTCCGTCCCCCAATGATTTCTATCCCCGAGGGAGATTGGTTCTGCTACGACTGTGTCTCCAAGGCGACGGGTAAATGCCACTGCTTTGTCTGCGGCCTTGCCAAGCCCATTGGAGCTGCGGAGGCACCATCAGCGACGGCAGTGGAGCCAGCACACCGACTTGTTCAATGCACCTCCTGTGCCCGCGGCGCCCATCCTGCCTGCCTGAGGCCGCCTCTGAACCGGCTGCCCAAGCGGTGGACCTGTATGCTCTGCGCAGCGAGTGGGTTGAGCGGAGCGGTGGAGAAGGTAGGGGCTGCTGCTACGGCCACTTCAGAGTTCCAATCGCCGAAAAAGGTTCGGGCACTTGGCTTGTTTCCTCCTTTTGAACTTTTCTGTACTGAAACGTCTTCTCAGATCTTTTATCAAAGTACAAATTATTAATATTGGTAGAGAGATCGAATGTGTGCTTACCAGGCATGTTGTTAGACCACAGGTTAGATGCTTTATTGCTTGAGTAAAACACCGAAGCTTGCATCACCAATGTAATCAAGGTAAATTCTACTCAAAAGAATAAATTTAACAAGGTCTCATGTGAACATCTGGTGCATGTATCTCATTATCTCCTCACCTTTTAGAACAACGCTCCTCAAGCCGAGCGTCCAAAACGCGTCTACATCAAGTCAGGCGCCTATCGCAGCTCGAAACGCACGACAAAATCGAAATGTGAGTCAGTGAAACAGAGGATCACCGAGCAGCAGCGAAAAGTTGGACGACCAAAGGGCACCAGTGGCAGCATCAGTAGTGGTGGCGGTTGCAGTAGTAGGCGGAAGGACTCTTCCTCCCTTAAGAAACGCGGCCGTCCTCCGGGCTTCTACAAACGCTCCCACACAGAGACGGGCGGGGAGAATGAGGCTGACGACGATGGTAATGATTATGATGACGATGCCGAAGAGGAGGACACAGAATATGCGGGAGGTGACGGGGAGGAAGAAAGCGGCGGTTGTGGTGGTGGTGAGGAACGGGTCACGGAGGCCAGTGGAGACGATGGAGATGGTGCGGCGCCAGTTCCTCTAACGAATGGGATTTTCAGCTCGAGGAAGTTCGCCGCGACTAAACGCCACGGGAAATCACGTAAATTACCGCTGGGTCTTACGGAACGTAATTTTTGCAGGTGAGATGCGTAGATGAGACATCCAATCCCTTGGTCGGGTCTGTCATCACTATTTTAGTGGCAGGCTTCTTTTCTTGAAAAACAACGAATTTAAGATATTTTCAGCGCATCTTTTAACGACCGTTGGCGGTGTGAAATGAGCGAAATTGATCCCAACAACCGGAAAACGCTGGGTTGTGCATATTTTCATCCTCATTCTAAGTGAACCATGTGCAAGGCACATGTTAAGGTCAGAGTTGAGGCCTATGACCTGGAGGTAGTTGCAGTTGAAGTGCTTACATTCATCTTGCGTTTTGCTTGAATTAGACACAGGATTTGATGTGGTTATTTGACGTTGAACAAACGTTCAATGTTGGAGAACTGGTGCAGTTTCTTTGCACGTAACAAATGAGCGTCAGTAAGGAAATCGCCTTATCACTCCTGGAGATAGTTCACTTAAAACACACTGGATGACCGCTTTTTACGATTCCGTTGCTTAATTACCACCTTTCAGACCCTGTCAAGGTGACAAATCTGTGTTATCAATGGTTTAGACATTTAAGAGAGGATGCAAAGTAGGGTATTTGATGTTTAACAATCCAACAAAAGTTCTCTCAATCATTTTAACTCCTTCATAGACACGTGACAGAGGACCTGATGAAACACGAACTATCTTGGCCCTTCAGGAAACCGGTCTGCTGCAAGACTATTCCGATATATCGAAAGGTTATTAAAAGGCCTATGGATTTGTCGACCATTCTTAAACGTCTAGGTGCAGACAAATGGTGAGCGAGGTGTATGTCTTCCTCATCCTCCTCTCCAATGTGTTTCCTGTTAAATTTTTTTTGTTCCTAAGGAATTATTACACTTCTGTGGCAGAATGGCGGGAAGACGTGCGTCAAATCTTCAAAAACTGCCGAATCTTCAACGAGGACGACTCCGAGATAGGTAAAGCAGGCCACGAATTGAGGCGATACTTTGAAACTAACTGGGCGCACATTTCGCGTCTGTTAAACCCTGGGAATGCTTCTTCACCGCTGGAAGCGCCAACTGGGGAGGATTCAGTCACTACAGCTCCCAGCACACCTGGATGCCAAGAGCCTTCCACGTGCACGCCAAGTCCTGCCACAAGGCCTACTTTCGAGGTAGACGATACACCGCCTCTTTCCCATCCCCTTCCACCCTCCTCTGAAGGTGTTGAAGCTCCAGCTTCACCAAAGTCCGCGGAAGCACCAACAGAAGTGGAAGGAGTTCTGAACTCCCCATGTGCTAGGGAGGCGGTGGTAGAGTCTATCGTGAGCTAGGTGGGTTGTGGATGCACACAGACATATCCTTTGGCCATTTTGAATTGTCCCTGATTCCTTCTTTTTCTACACCACTGACAATCGATCCTTTATGCACAGGCAGGCAGACACGTAAGCGCGGCTCTCTTTCTCTCATTCCTTCAACCGTGCTGCAGCTTACTTTGCTCTCTGTGTATAATTCATCTCTCTGCCATAAACACACGAACACCTACTCCAACCTCTACACACAATCGTGCTCCCCTGTTATGTGCAATTATTATTCCGGTCACTAATGTCAGTGTTTGGGAAATCGCCCATAGGTTTGTAAATAAAGCATAAACAATCACTTGAATGATGATTGCCTTCTGCCAAGAAATAATCTGCACGGTTTTGTCAGAAAGCCGGTCGGTTGATAAAATTTGTCTTGCTCGTCAAATAGACCGTGAAATGCAAATAAGGTTTTATGGAGGCTTGTCAACTATTTGGAATCGTTGCTAGTCCGTAGACGAGTATTATGAACTAGGGTCTATGTGCGTGACCTCGGATCCTTTTGAGCTCCCAGCCAGGTAGTCGACAAGACGTGCTTTTGGTGACATTAACCTTGGCCACCTAAGTAGCTTCTATACGTGATCTCGGAAAATCGGGAGGGGCTGAGTGAGAGTGCGACTTTCTAGAACGTCCGAAAAGTAGCCATGAAAGTGGAAACTTCCAGAAAATCGAAATAGGAATGTTAACCGGCACTGCAGACAACCCCAGCAAAGTGTGTAAGAGTAACCAGCCGATTTTCCTTTTATATAGTATGGCAGAAGATCTGCCTCTACAGTGCTCAATTTAGAACGTAAGGGTAAACTCTAGGAAGAACCATCCTGTTGGGTTGCTACAAGCACGAGGCAACCAAACAGTTCGGTACGGTCTTTGTAATAAAAACTAAATGACTGCGGAAATCTACTTGAAATATTTCGCTCGATGAAGTAATCATTATTCCATGTTATATTCCTTTCTATACAAGAGAAGCTCGAGAATATTTTGTCTCTAGAAACTAAGAAAAATCTTGCTCTAGGTATCTCAGTTTCGATCCCACTTTAATTTCCCAACTGTCTATAATATTTCGCATGTAATCATGTGGTTTCCAACTACCGACGCCATGAAGAGTTGGTAATCATCACTTAAAGAACAATCATAAAGGGGATATGTAGGACAAGGGTGAGAGAGCTTTGGAACCTTACTGAATTCGTTTTGTAAAACAGAGAAGCTCAAAGTAAGTCAGACTTTACTGTCTTTTTTGAAATGGGGGTTTAAGAGAACATTTAAATGCTACGGACGCAGTAGGGTTGGTAAAAGTGTCGCGTGTTCATTTCCCTGATATCTTCATACAAGTACCGTTGACAGCTCTCTAACAAAGTTTTTTGATAGTTCACGGCTAGTATCGCTTCAGGGTGTAATAACATTCCTGCAGAACACGGGACTGAGGTGGTTGCCAAAGGTAGGCGCCATTTTTAGCCCTTCTGTCAGGCGTCGTCACATATTCTCCCATCCGCAGCATATGTCCCACTTCTGTCACGTTAAAATTTAGCATTCAGGAATGAAAATTGGGGTACATGCCCTTTGCGATGTTTGCCTTCCCCTGACACCAATGTAGTGTCACGAGATTTCCCTGAAGGCGAAATGAACATAATAAGAGGGCAGAATATGTATCACTAGCATGGAGAAAGGCTGGGGTTACTGACGTACCCGCAGGTCAGGCCGCCCGGTGGAGGTATAATCGCGGAACTCCCAAGTGGCCCCTTTACCTAGACCGAGAGTAAGCTAAACACTAAACGCATTTTATAAAATGTGCTTAAGTGAAGATGTTGTTAACTAACATAAGACCGCCTTTGATACGATAAAAAGTGCAAGTTTGGTAGTCCATACACTTGAGATCCATGCTGGTAAGTTGATACCAAGTCCAACAGACCAAATGAGACTGCTCGAAAACAGGTTTATCGCTAAACTACTAGCGTTGGATTCCCGTTGGTAAAATGAGCGCACCCAATACTCAACTCACAGTCCTGTTACCTTTGTCCGTCTAAATACAATTTGCTCCAATCCACAAAGATAGTCCAAAAGGGCGTTCCAGATCTCCTTAACGAGACTGGCCATCCAGCCCATACTGTACTCCAGTTTGTGGCATCCTCCGACAGTCGGTACGGAGCCCCACTTTGGGAGGCGAAGTGTATCCCCCACCTACATTGTGAACAAATCAGTATTTCAAAATAGGAATAACCTTTAGCAGGTCACAACATTTATACTTTTGTGGCAAATCGATCAATCCAGCTTTTCAAATGAATTCCGTCCGTTTATTTAAATAGCCCAGATAGCGCGTCAAATTTTCGACGAAATCGATGTACATGAAAAGCCAACGTGTATATAGAGAATCGAGAGAGAATGAGCACGGGACAGGGAGATCACAGAACCCTATTTGTACAGTGAAGCAGTGTGTTTCTCCCTCTCCGGCAACACAGGGACATCGGAGTGGTTAAAGACGCGCACATTGCGCAGCTTCCTTTTCTCCTTGGCGCGGATGATGCGATGCTCCTTCGTTGCCACATAGATGGACTTGGGTACGTGGCGGTTGCGAAGGATGCGTCGCACTTCTGGGTGCTCTTTGTATTTCTCCCGCAGTGCTTCTGCTGTGGCCAGAGACTCGCGCTCCCGCGGCTTCATGGGGCCCAGTTTCTCCGACGCGTGTGCCTTCCACAGACGCACATTCTGATCCGTCGAGGAGGAGAGAAGGAAGCGACCATCAAGTGTAAACCTCACCTTCAGCACGCGCTTCATGCGCCGTGTGTGGTAGACGTCTACGGAGGAGGTCTGCTCAACGTTCCATAGGCGTATCTAGTTATCAAGGTAGAGGTGGTTGTTTAAACAAGAAATCAACGCATTCAACACTATTTTCCCGCATACATCTTTGCATTCGATTTGATAGTTATGTTGGATAAGCGACTAGACTGTTATACAAGATAAAGGTGGTGCTTGACTTACCATAAATGCATTGTATTCAACATAGTGATGAAATCTTTATTTCTAGAATGAGGGCCCGTTTAGTGCTTTTCAACGCTTAGGAGGAATGGTTTATTCACTCTCCATGATAAGATTTTGAATGTTACAGGCATACAGGACAGGGGTGTCTGCTCAATGGGTCAAATAAAGTTGATTCCTTAATCTCTACCGGAACTAAGAAAAATTGGTGTACGTACTCCTGCAATTCTCACTTTTAAATATATGTGATAGGGGGAGCTCAGCTTGACAATTCTTGTGGGGACTAGGGCCAGTGTTGCACCACCGGGTCACCATTGTATCTTTACAGAGACAGTACCAGAAAAATTTTGCGTTAAATGCTAACCACAAGACCTAATGCGACTACATAGACAGTACTCAAAAAAAAGCCCGAAAAAAGTAACCACATCAAAAATTAGGTGGTCAGGAACCCGTTTGAAACAGATTTGAAAAAAAAGTCAAAGCATGTAGACGGAATAGATTATAACTTTTTCAACAGAATATTTGGCGATTTCTTTGGTACAAAAATAGAAATCGACAGGAAAAAAATGAGTTGGTCACACCAGTGGAGACAGATAAAATCCGGTCGACAATGACAATCAAGATTTTTAAGGTGACAAATCAGGCCAAAGAACTGCCTTTCCATGTGAATTCCAGTCATCCTTACTCATATTTATAATACATTAAAGTAGCTACTGATAGCCTTTGAAACCACAAGTATATCACCCAAAAAGGGTACTTTAAAAGGATACATTCTCTACTTATAGAACCACTTTCATCTCACAAAAATTCTCACACCACTGGAGGAATAACAGTTGTTTCCAATAAATACGCGACCAGACGGACCTTTGTGGCCACTCGTGCCTCGATCTTCAAAGTGGTGATATGACGCAGTCTCCTAGTCCCCTTATGTAATTAGGATTAAGCTACTTCCAAACAACTGGTCTGTAGAACCCTGAGCAGTAGCTCAGTCGTTACATCAGCCTTACACAATGGACAAACTGAATTCAGCGCTATCTCGCATGGAAATACAGACTAGTAAGGATGTGAAAATATAGTACAACGACAACTTACAGTCCCATCGTAACAACCCGAAGCGAATTCTCTACCAGACGGGGAGTAATCCACGGCCATGACGGCATTTGTGTGACCCATATACACCCTCTTTGGATGCTTGAAGAAGCGACAATCGTATGTGTAGAGATTGTAGTCCTCAGAAGCAGCGGTAAAAACATACGGCTCCATTGGATTCCACGAGAAGGAATTCAATTTGAGGTTCATTTTCAACTGATTAGAAATATAATTGTATGGCCAAAGGGCAACAGTAAGGACCTTGAAGAAAGCGGGTATAAACTCACTTTTCTCAAGGGACTATCTTCCCGCGTGTCTGCCAGAATAATGGAATTATCCTTGGTTAAAATTCCAACGAGATTGTGTTCCACTGGGTTAAAAGTAGCCTGGTGTATGGCCTCCCGACCCCAAGTCCACTCACGAACGGGAACATCCATACGTGTGGAGTGGTAGAGGAAGCAGGATTCGGGGCTACCAACGAGAAACGCGTCCATTGAAGGGTGATGGTCGAGACTGAGTGGTGTAGAGTCAAGGAGCACTGTATTCAGCGGTTTTGACCACGCCGCCTCAATGTTGCTATGATCCATGCGCCACTGTTTCAACTGACCATCCAAACCACACTAAAAATAAGATAAAAAAGATAATCGGTTTCAAACTCTGCTTTGATTGGTAAATGAGGTATAACAGAAAGTAGGCTCACTGAATACATTAGTTGAGATTTATCATATTGACAGACACCTCGTACTTCACCAGCGTGAGCTGGAGCTTCATACGCAAGCTTCCGACCTGCGATGTCCCAATATTGAATCTGAAATAATCAAGGTAACCGACAATACACAGTACCTTTCCATCCGCAGTACCAAAAACAGCTAAGCCAACTTTTTCTGTGTTTAGTGACATGACAGTCATTGTATCTGTGGTGCCCTCAAGACAGCCGATGAAAGGCTTCGCCATCATACGCGAAAGTTTGGCTGAATTTAGAGCTCTAACATATTCCCTCTCCGCAGCGAAAGGATGTTCCGTGACAGAGTGGTTGCGAGGCACTGTAATAATCACAAACAAAGTACCATGACTTACTTTTGAATATGTCATCTGCTGTCTCTCGTAAATAATCAGCAGGGTTCCGAGATAACATCCGAATCTTCATCTTCGTCCAGTAAGTACGTCGGTACAAGCTCAGAGAAACAGAACACACGGCCCGAAACGCGTTCGAGGTGGGAGCCTGAACAATGATCAATTAAACAAAATACGTCATTGCGCATGCTCAGTATGAACTATAGTAGTTATTGATCTATGGGAAGAATTTACCAATAAAAGTGTGTTCGCAAAAAAATTTTTAGATCTCACATTGACGTAAACTTAAAATTTAAAAGTTAAATTAATTATAATTCTTGAATTTCTCATGCGTTTATTCTGCAGACCTAAATCTTGCACTAAGTGCAGGCCCTTTTAATGCACCTCTATTTGCTGTGTACTTTGTTCATCAAAATATGGTGTGTTTGCATTGCCACACCAGCGATTTAATTTGCATGTGGTCCACCGAAAGCCTTCTGACAAAGGGATACTAATTAATTTCAAGATTTAAACCATGATGATTGTAGCCTACTTTCATCGTAAAATATGAGAATTTTACTACGGTGCTTTGCAGACGAATTCAAAATCAAATGCCCTTAGTTAATGCTCCATCTAATAAGTTTACTCAAAACCTGTCAAAGATTTTGTAAGAAAGTGAATGTGTCAGTGACGAACACGATTATGAAAACAACACTACTTTTTAATGAGTCCTACCCGGTACTACTTATAGGATTACTACCCCTATAAGGCTGCAAGAGAGTTGGGTCTGTGAGACACCTGAATACTTTTTCACCACCTTTGTCGGTCCACCAGCCCATATGTCACTTGCTTTTGAAGGCGTTAATTAACGCAAATGTATAGTTGGTCCTTTACTTTTCGAGTTAAACTTTATAAATAGGGCTCTTCTTGCCATAATAGCTGAATGTAACAAATCAAGTAGAGTTAGCACAATCGCATCTGTTGGGTATCACCGCCTAGCTTCTTTGCCCGAAGTAAAACCATCTCAGGCGAATCTGATCACTGATAGAATAAGCAAAGCCAACCACACCAGTCTGCCTGGTGAATGGATCGGAGTGTCACTGAAGCAGGCAGTGAAGTTTTCAATCTAAAAAAGGAAGAAATAGAAAATATAAACGAGGTGGTTATAGAAGATTCGCCGCCAGACCCACCTTGTATGAAATCATTTCGCAGGCCTTCGGTGTCACAGGATCCCTCCGGTAAGTTTGAGAGCGAGGTACTGATTTATCACGTGTGGAGGCAGTTAATGATACACACGACCGCAAAAATTAATGTTATCTACATTAAATTGAAATATATGGACGGGGGTTTGCTTAAATTTCAACAATACTATCCAACATATTTAGATCCATAAATTAGCCCCATGTTTTCATAAGCTGTTTTGAGGTGACTCCCTGTATACATTTGATAAATAGTAAAGAATAGTTTCTCATAAACTACATCAGTTTTGCGGTAATTATGGAGACTTGGATATCCGTCCATTGTAGCTTATCTGACATCCCAAGTATTTTGTGTATGCTATGCTAAATGCTTGCGGATTTTCCAAGTAAAAAGGATATCTTTCAGCTGTGCGCCATAGCGGTAGCGCCGTTTGCATTCGCAGATGCAGTTGATCGAAGGCTTGCCCACTGGTTTCACCGTCATTATGAGAAGTAGGTTCGTGTTCGGTATGGAGGCCACGACCCAGTCACTAGAAAGAATACAACTGAACGTAAGTCATTATGCAGCAACGCAACAGCTAAATGCAATCTAATGAATCGCTTGTTTCTGACACAGCTAGGTTTGTTTTAAATGATAAAGCAATGACCTTGATGACTTAGCTCCAAAGGGCAAGGAGCCTGGGGCAGTCATACCGTCGATGCAGTTCATTTACTATCGACCTTACATCTGTTGGCACCTCATTCCTTTTTCGTCTAATAATTTTAATTGTCTGGATTGTTTGCGAAATAGTGCCTTTGGTGAGTAAACTTAAGAATTACTGTTGTATAGCTGATTCAAGGAAAAAATTCGGCGATCGGGCTAGAGATAAGGTTCGAGTTACGCCTGCATGAGGGTGGAAATGTGTGGGCGTTTGAGAGAGTAGTCATATTTGAGAATTCGTACAGGGAGTCACTCGTCGACAAAATTCTAGAAGCTTAAGTGAAATAAGCCCGTGTCTTAGAGGAACAACTGTGGCACGTGGACGAGAAAATAAGCCAGGATTGCAAACGAACACTTAGAACTTCCTGACTCACATGTTCCCACAGGCTGGGCAATAAATACCAGAACGAAGTTTGGGTGATGCATTAGCACCTCTACCGCCATATCCATATGAAGTTTGCTGCCCCCTTCCAGCATGTGCCTCCTTGTTAAGGTAGAATATGCTGTGACGTTGTGTGCACGAATCCAACGGCTGTCGGCAGTCGTGTAGAAATTCTGTTAACTGCGGCATCCGCTGTCGCACCGCGTCGCACATCACCTCACAGCCCTGTCGTCCAATTTGATTGTTACTGTGCACCGCCGCATGACATCGCATTTGCACAATCCGCTGCACACATCGCAGCAATGTGCCTGGGATGGCGTTCACTTTTCGTGGAGGAATCGCCGTCGTCTTCGTGATATTCGGTTGTACCGTCTCGTTTACCAGAGTCACGTTGCCTGACAGAATCTGTAGGGGCTCTCCCGTAGTCACAGCCTGGGTGAGATCAATTAGTTCCAATGTCTCGTTCATGGAGCCGTTAAAGAGGCGCGACGGTAGTAGTGAAGATTGTGGTGGTGGTGGATTCAGAGTGGGTTCACTGGCGTAGCACATGTTCAACTCTGAAAAGGCCTGCTGTTGCATCAGCCAGGGATCCTCGGGATCTTCAAAGAAGTAGTTTTTCTGGGAATAGAACTGTGCAGTCTCGTAGAAAAGGGGAAGGTCCGGAGTGGTCTCGCCATTGGAGGGAGCTACTGAGACCTCCACGTCTGGAAGTGAGTCAGTTGGAGGTTCTGTGAGTGAAGTCTGTGGAGACTCGAAGGGTTTCAGCACCTCGTAGTCACGATAAAATGGACCGTCGAGGCTGCTTGTACGACTAGGAAGGGGAAAATCTACTGAGCCACGGTGTACGTAACCGAGGTGATCATCTCCATCTCGGAAGTTGAAAGGCGATGTGTCTGGAGGGGAAATGGGGTCGTTGAGGTGAACGAACTCGCCTTGAGTGGGTGGCATTGAGTCCCATACTCCTAGAGATGTGAATTGAGAAATAAGAGATGCAAAATACTTATTATTTTAGAAAAATAGGTTTCTGAAAGCTCCGTATCCATCTCTTAAAAAATTTTACGATTCCATTCTGATAAAGTATGTGTTTGGTTGTCAGCTTATAATGATCTGTATCTCAGATACAATCCATCGCATGCGGTGACGGATCTTTGACAAAACTGCTTAAAGACATGAATTACTTCCAAATTTCCTTTGGAATTTTGGCAAATGATCATATTTTGGGCTCTGGTGAATTCCTTTTAAGAAAAGTATTTCCACTTTAAATAATGCTTTCTTTCTGCTGAAACTAACCTTGAGCCGCCGCCCTTAGTCCAATAAACCACCAATTTGCGACAACTCTAAAAGAAGATCAGTTCGTTCGAATTATTTACAAAATTATGCCAATTGAAAAGCTATCTTGACTCAGGTGAACATCAGAACAGGCACTTAAATGCCAATTCTAAAGTTAACCGAGTATTTTAATGTTTCATCTTGGCATCAAATTGACTTTACTACGATTTGAGGACTAGCAGGAGCATGTGCATGCTGAAGTGCGTGAGTTATATCGGTGTGGCGATCGCTATAGGGGTATCTTAACTGTCAAACTGTTGAAGGGCGACTACTCAGACCATGTGAACAACGTTTTGATTATTCAGGCGTAACTGGTAATTAAAGATCTAGCCACTTTTAATTAGAGAAAAGTTCCGTCGGGGATAATGACAGAAAAATGTGTTGCCTAGATGGTTGAGAGCTTATCAGAATCCTAATTTGTCATTTGAATTGAGGTGTTTTGACATAAAATGAGGTATAACGAAAGAATGTGCACATTCAGGTCCTCTGCTCTCCACTTACAAAAGGAATTCCTTGAGAGCGTGTCCGAGGCATTTAAGGATAAATGCGATGGGCTGAAATGAGGGAGGAAGGTTAGCGAAACAATATAGTCTAGCCTCAAAAGAACAAATTGTGTCAGAACATTCTTGACTTATTAAAAAGCATAATCTGCAGAAACTCCAGAAAGGTGTCATTTGGGTATTAAGAGTTACTATTTCATTTGCATTAAGGGAGTGCTCAGAAAAGTGGACATTTCCAAAGCTCCCCTTCCTACATCAAAGCCAGAACGCCGGGTTAATTCGAATTTAGCGTGGGTGCAACAGACTTATACATCTTGAAGTGACTTATCTCTGCACCCCGTTTGGCTCAACTTACTGAGAACAATCGAGAGGCGTAGTTCAGATCTGGTGCAACAGCCTCAATGCAAATGGCCTGGAAGTCGTAAACCTCGCGTCTTCGAAGGGATCAAAAGATGGGTTTTATTATAGATAAAAGCAGCATTCATTTATTCATTCATTCTTCACGTACTCGGTTACAACATTCGCTGCGACAAGAGCCTCCATTAAAGCACAATCCAGTTCCTTCAAGTTTTGACTCACCTGAAAGGAAATCCATCCTGACATCTCAACAATTAATCTGCTTACGCTCACAAAATCTTGTGCAAATTTCAGTGGACCTAAAACTAACCGCCTTTTCTCCAGCCGTGGAAAGAACAATCTGTCCTGCAGTGGTTGTGAGGAAGCACTGTACACCCGGCTCATCGCATCTTAAACAATCACTGGAGTCGCAGCTATTGACCAGCGTGAAAAAAATGCTATTCAACTTTTGATAACTAAATTGCACCCCAGCAATCCCCATTGCAACGGCCTCGGAGGCTGGATTACTGATAACGCCCGAAACCACCATGGGAACGGAGATGTTCTTCTCCAGAAAATTCCTAAATACTGTGGAATACAAGTGGGAAAATGATTTTAGCATACCATAGATCAAAGTTTGTGTGCTATAAACTCCACCTGTCGGAAGACTAGCAAAAACAGCTTACCTTGCTTCAAAGGCGGTCTAAATACTAGCATTTTCATGTTTTCGTAGAAGGTTGAATGAAGAATAGTATATTTGTAGAAGGAACTCTCGGACCCCTTGTTAATTTCCTCCAGAAATCCCCTAAAAACCCAACAAAAGAATTAGATTGTGCTTTGCATTTAGGTCTATGTAGCACGTGATGGCGCGGGATTACTCGTAGGGCGATTCGGAGAAACTGAAGTAACGCAGGAGGCCAGAATGATGCACACTGAAGGCCCGTTGGATGTCGAACCTAGGATAGATTTGTTGCAAATAAGTTCTAGACTCTAATTTGATCCACCTTTGAATGGTTGAATTGTCCACCTTCCCCTGCCAGTAATCATGAACGCTTGCTGTTGCTTTTGCATCCATGACGATCCTTGCTATGTGATCCATATCACCTGAAACAATAAGTGGATCGGCTTTCTACGAGTAGAAATTCTTTTCATCATTTGATGGTGATTCTCACCTTAATTAAACTGACCCTTACTGTGGAAATTTTTAGCTCCTACAGAAGAAATTTTTACACAGTAAAAGCCTTACACTCATTTTCGTTCCTCAGATTGTTGTCAATGACGACATTTCTCAAGATGCAGAGTGGATCGTCCATAAATACACGTAAAAGCTCTCTTCGGAATTTGCAGAAACTTCTGAATGAAAAATGAGGAATTTCAACTTAAAATGTGTTTATTTTGTTTATCCACTGGCATTTTCGACACAAAAATACTTACAGAGGGGCCAGCATTGCTCCGGAACGCAGTGTCTTGTTGCGCTCACAAGACTTGGCTGGGTTTATGAACTGAGGGTTCAGCATCATTGTATCTGCTGCTAGAAGCAATTAAAAACGTTCAGTTCGAGTCGCCTAGCCGTTTGCTAGAATAGGGCTGACACGATTTTCCGTTTATAGATTGACGGTATTCGGTTTCAAAACATGCGATCGGGGATTGTTTGATGCTCGTGGCTGTTATTAAGTGCTTTCCATTAGTTCAAGCAAAGTATGATTATGCAACGCACTAGAGTACCAAAATACTTAATTTAATGCACAATATTTGGTTTGGTGAGCATAAAAGAGACCATCCTTAAGAAATAAGAAATGGCAAAAGCTCCACTGCTTTCTTAGCAAAGAAATTTCACGATGGGGTAGAGTTTTACTACAAAAAGTTGTCTTTTCACATCTTTAAAGACTGATGACATAAAATAGATTTTCTACGCCTTTAGAAGAAAATTGCTTACCACGAATCGTGCCTTGACGCCAAAATTTCGAAGTGTCGTATTTAGGAATGGGAAATCCACGGTTGGCCTCCTCTACCCATCTTACGGCCAGGCCAAAGGTAAAGGGTGTGTCTGGAAGAGGTGATGTGAATACTTTCTTCGTCATCGGTAGACCCGAGAGCTGGGAATTGAAACAAATGGTAACTCCCCGATCGCCGTCACATGCTAACTCAGACGGCTATAGTGCAGGGAGCTTTTTAAGTGACAGAAGAATTGAGCCAACTGTTTACTTTGCTAATGAGTTCCCTTATGCGTCAGTATGGTTAGTTTCACGTCTGTTGACTTAAACTGAAATGTTTTTTTTTTAAATTAAAGTCGGCATGATTGTACTCACAAAGTCTTCTGCTGTTACCATTGTCGTCACAACAACGGAGGTGCACAGCCGATCGATCAGCGATTTTCTTAACTTTAATAAGAAGAGATTTATAAATTGCATTCCTTCCAGGAAGTGGAAGTCCATCACAGAGGCAACTCACCATAGAATTGTACATCGGCAGTGCTGTATGCTAAAACGGCCAAAATATGCATTAGGTTCTTAGGATTATGTATAAATTTTTGAGTTCGCAACATTTTTCAACCAGTCACGACTCACTGGATCTAGCGCAAATCCGAGCGGTTGCTCCACCTCATCTATATCGACATGTCGGTAGTATCGTTTCAATTGAGTCCCATGCTAAAGAATGCAATGAACTACCTGATTGTTAAAAGGTTACCATCGGTCGGTAGTTGGGATGGAACAGTACAAATCCGTTGTTTGTCAAGCCGAAGAAGTATGAAAGAGGTCCTGTCTAAAAGACACGCACGAGGAAATTCGTGAGGGGAATCTGGGTAAATGCCGTCGTGGTTGACACATCTCAAAAATGGTTTATTAAGTTTAGTGAGGGGAACTCATTCATGCAAACTTCCCTCTTTCTCTTTGGAGTTATCTTGACCCTGTTAATACTGCCTCTTAAACCCTACCGTTACTTTGTAATGGTAATGACAGAAGGGGATTGGCTTTATGTGGAGAGCAAACCTTCCAACTCCTGAGAACATCTTGAATGTCATCCATCGGAATGTCGAGTCCAGTAACTCCGAGAATAATTCCTTGGTTGTTTTCAATCTAGAATTAGGCAAAACTAGTTGTATTTAACATGTGAAGAAAGGCGAATCAACTAAAACCTACGCTGGCATTGGTTTTGTCATAGGCGGCTCGAGATAGTGTGACGAAGAATTGCGAATCCATTGTCTTGAATGGTTTCAACGGAGGCTTGAAAACATTGAAACGAATGCGTGAGTTAATAAAATGAGATTTACTGTTAGTTTTCCCCTTAAACAAACTTACGACCACTAGTGACCCATCTAAGACTAGCTTATTAACTTCCTGAATTAGTCGATTTATCAAGAAGGTAGAATATTTCAAGATAGTGAAAAAAAAAGGCGCTAAATGGTGCTGAATTAAATGTTAAAAACTGATTCATAAACATATGCGTCTGGGGACTAATATTAGCTAAATCAAATAAATGCCATTTATTTTGGTTTTATTGTAGATGGCTAATGAAGTTGTCAACTCCATTCATCAGTCGGATAGACGGAGGTCAAATAAATTCATGCAAATGACCCTCATTCCTTAGTTCCTTGCATTTTGACAAATTTATGTTGATAACGAACAGTGCTTTTCCCAGACCCGGAGCGGGAAACATTTTAAATGGATCAGACCTAACTTGCAAACCTGAGTTCCCATTTCTATAGCTCAACTATTTACTAGTCCTTGCACAAAGTTAACCAGACTGTACAGGAAACTTTTATCCCACATTCTAACATGAATGGATAGAACATCATTGCCAGCGGCGATGCCAATAGAAAGCTCAATCTTTTGTAAATGAACAGGACAAAAGAGGGGTAGACAAGCGACGCACTAGGAGCATATTGCTGGAGCCTGCATCGTCCCCTTGCATCACCTCCTCTACGCCTGTCATGTTATCGGCAGAGGTTGCATTCTGGAAGGGAGTTTAAATGCTAACAAATATTTTAAAGCTAGGTAAAGGATTGTCTTATAACGCCTATTTTGTGTCCATAAAACTTACTGATGTTGGTTCGGGTGGGGAAGTGAAATTCTCTGGAGTGAGTTTCTACAAAAGGAAAGGTTTAATTAAGGGATCCACAACGATGTAACATCAAAAATGCCTGCATGTGGCCGTTCTTCCAGGGGTATTTAAACCCATCTAAAAATGGGGTGTGATGAGTTGCAAGAAGAACGCAAGCTTCTTCGAAAAAGGAACAATTAATTTGGCAAATAAAGACTTGATTTTTCTAAACACTCCCATAACTGAGTTACCTGTGTCCGATTCACAAATTACTGACCTACAAAGGGCATATTAGACACTGGCAACTCATTATTTCATTGTTAACAAATAAGAGGCTTGCGAAATTCACCTCAAAAAGCGACATAAAAGAGGATTAAGTGTTCGCTTAATACCAAACGCTAAGAGAGGAAACAATTTATTTTATCTGAAATACAAGGCGAACTGACCATTAGATTCAGTTGAAGTTTGGTGACTCCACTCCATCGAACAAACGAATCGTCCAAGATGGCGTTTGATCTGGCCACAATGTCAATGTACTTCTGCAAGGAGGGGGGATATTTAGTTAAGGTGATCCAAACATGGCTCAGCGAATCGAGGCTCATGAAACCGCCTTCTTACCAGCACGTTCTCTTTGACGTCGGCCAAGTTAGCTATGTTGGCTTCCATACCTGGAATGACAAACGAACGGTCATAGATTCTGAAACATTTCAGGCACTTAAGGGAAGGTAACTTCTTCAAATTTTCTGCTTCACCCAGGTAATATCGGACTAACGGCCTTGTAAGTTATAAGTTCAACATTTAGACATTAGACTTTTTCAACCTTTGAAGATTAGGGATAAGCAAGCGATACTTAATGTCCAGGGACATTTTATGAACCGGAATTCCAATTTAAGTAGCCATTATTTAAATAAAATGGTTGCTTTTAGTCACTTAAATAAATGAGACTTGTGATTTTCGAAATGCTCCACCTTCTAATACTATAACGATTGAAAGCTTTACCTATTTGAAATTTTCACCGGAATTTTTAAGACCACCGATTTAGCATCAGCTTTGGGCGACGTGCACAAGTTCAAATTCAAATATACACTTTTCCGCTTATTTTAGTGACACTCTAAGATTATTAAGAATGTCCAATTCAAGTGCTTTTTAGTCGCGCATAAGAGTAGATGGATGGTGATTGAAAACTTACCACGATTGTTGCAAGCAATTCTCTGGACAATGCTCTCGTCGGCCGAATGTTGACCAATAAGAAATGTGAAAACGCGGACGTTTTTCTGTCGAATAGGTAAAAAGGGAAGCAAAAATAAACATGAATAATCTGAGCATAGTCGCGATAACTTGCCACACCTTTGAGGGGGGATTTAATTGGACTGCTGCAATCTGGTACACATGGGGACTTCGACTAATCTGAGTTCTATAAAATGAGAACTCTTAAGTAGCGTACCTCTATCCGGCTGATCGCATTCTGTCATATGAGATGTCCCATTTTCAAGTTGATGCGATCGAAGTTATTTTCCACATACCTGACACCATCTTCATCCCTCAGAAATCAAAGGTTTGTCACGATTACTGGGGATTACTTTGCCCATCATGCAATGTTATTGCATAGTTTCAGGTTCCGCTCTTTACTTTGACCCTTAACAGAAATTTTATGACCGACGGCTTCCAAGTAAATTGCGTGAAAGAGACTGTGCCTGTGCTATGTCCGTATCAGCCAGTTTCATACCTGTATACCCTCGTACATCAGTCCTAAAAGAGTCAACTAACCAGCCGTCTCTTGTTTCAAAGTCGCTTCGTCAAGTTCTTTTTTATTGCTTTAAAACAATGCCAGGAGTAACCTTTGTGTTATCATTTTGAATCTAGTAAATACAGATCTTTGGCGGTGGCAAAAAGGGATTCCTACAACAGAGAAGACTGGAAGTATTTACAACTTGAAATGAGAAAACGGTGATAGGTATGTTAAGAGCAAGAGTTAACTGGATAAATCATGAACGTTAATTTATCACACTGTTAACGACAATTTGATGGCCATTTGGGATGAATAAGTAAATGAGGAGTTGAAGGTAATACTCACTTCGGGGTTGTATTGTTGAAACACATCATCAAAGTCATCGGGCACCCCATCGGTTATAAGGATGATCATCTTGTTGCAGCGATTTATTCCAGTTCCATTATTGGACTAAAGTGGTGAGAAAAAAGGTGTCCGGCTTACGATGTTGAGCAGTGTGAAGGCCTCCACTAGAGCCGTCCTGAAATTTGACGTCCCGTTAGGCATATGATCCCCGAATCCACGCACTATTCGCTGCAAGCAAAATGTTAAATCTTGTGAATTTTTTCATGGGCATGCTTTAAAATCCCACCCATTTACTTCTGCAAAGTATTCTCTAAATACTATTTCTAGCAATTAGGGTATCAACAAATATGAGAGCGAGCTTTATAAACTGACCGTTAGTAGTGGGGAAAGTGTCAGAGAGATTCCATTTTAAAGAAACTGCTTGATTCAATTAAGAAATTTTCT